ACTGGGGGAACAACGCCTGTTTTGTATTTCAATTACCACATCCACCGTGACCCTTGAGCTCTCTGACTTGGGAAAACCCCAAAGGAGCCATCTAATCCCTGGAGAGGTCCCAAAGGGCTTGACCTATGGAGCTGGGGGTTTGTCCTTTCACAGGACCAATGCTAGTACCTAACGAGCAGCACGTTGTGGTTGTAGACTGCAGACTGGACGGAAGCTGCAGGAGCTTTAAGGGTGGGCGGGGGAAAGGCTTCGAAATCAAACAGTCCAAGTGGGAAGGTTTGGGGGGCCCAGAAGAGGCAGGTCCAGAGTCCCTGATGGGACCATCCAGGTCCCAGCTCAAGCTGGCCACGTGGTCACATTGTCCTCTCCCTGGAGTGCAGGGCTCTAACTCCAAAGAGCAGAACTCATTCATTTCACTTTATAGCTTTTATTTGGAGTAACAGATCCCTGTAGAAATCACACACGTATCGTTCAGGTACCTGCATCTCTCAAGGAAATCAGACTCCCAACTTGACCAACTCCCTCTGGTTGCAAACCTGAAGTCGACATGCAAATACAAATGCAAAAGGAGGTGTGGTGTACGGGGATAGACAGGGACGAGGCGAGCTCTTGGCAGTGYGTCTTGTTCACAAGAGAGTTACCTGTGTGCTAGTCAGATTTCACTGCTGTGACCAAACGCCTGACACAACGAGGAGGAGGAAAAGGTTGTTTGGCTCAGTTTCAGAGGTTCGTCCATGGTCAGCCAACTCCATTGCTCTGACCTGCAGTGAGGCAGAACATGGTGGTGGAAGGGTGTGGCTAAGGAACACAGTTCACCTCATGGTAGCCGGGACACAGAGACAGAGACAGAGAGTCTGGGAGGAGACAGTGGCACTGGCAGTCCTGGCAAGCACCACGGATCAGGGGCACTCAGGGTGAGGGAACAGCCTGCCCACATCATACAAAGAGAGGCCAGCTGTGGACAGAGAGAGGGACAGGGGTGGGGCAGAGGGGAGGAGAGGAGAACCAGGGATAAGATGGAGTCCCCAAAGGCACACACACAGTGAGCTACTTCCTCTAGCCCTGCCCTACCTGCCTGTGGTCTCTACCACCTTCTAGTCCATTCAGATTGTTAATCCAGCAAATGGATTAATCTATCAAGTGAATCATGAGGTCAGAGACCTCATAATTCAATCATTTCTAAAAATCCTGCCTCTGGACACTCTTTCACTGAGGACCAAGCCTCCGACACGTGAGCTCTTGGGGACATCCTAGATCCAAAGTGTAACTTGGGAAACATCTTCGTCAGGGTTTCAGGTACCCCCTGGTGTGGGCGTGAGGTGGCTGGACTTGGGGGTGTGGTTCTGTGGTGTGTGGTCCTGAGGCTGGGCACGGGGCTGTGACTGTTGGCTCTGCTGCATGGGGCATCGTGCCAAACCACCAGTCCCCCTGAAGGGCAGATGGGAGGAGCGCCCGCCCCTGGGATTTTCTCTGAGCAGTGACCCCTGAGGATTCCACAGACAGCGCCTCGCAGGGCCTGTTCCCACGMCAGCTTCCACAGTGGCATCTTCGAGAGTGCAGTAACAGAAGCTGGGACCTAAGGGCTCCCGTCACAGGTTTTCCTGGCCATTCCACCAGAGTCGGGAACAGAGATACTACCGTTCTAGAAGGTAATGGAGCCCTTTACTCCTTACCTTTCGGCTACTCCAGGCTGGTGGCCAGCCATCTCAGTGACCTGGCAAAGCGCCCCTTCTGGCATAATTCACAGCCAAGTGGTCCAAGCCACAGAGGGACYCTGGGCTTGGCTTCTCCAGTGGGTGGAACACGTGGTGGGGGGTGGTCCTTCCTTTGGCAGCTGGCGCTCCGCAGCCCTGGTCCTGGCAGTGCAGGTAAGGAGGGCAGGCTGGGGGCAGAGGGGCAGCTCTCATCTTGATTGCATCAGAAAAGCCTTTGGAATCCCAAGCCAACTCTGACTGCAGGGGGACCTTTTCTATATTCTATTCTACGTGTAAGCATTTGTCTGTGCACGTGAGCTGATTGGTGGATYGTCACTCTTGTGAGATTATAAGTAGGGACAACCAGGCCACTCAGCACAAAAGCCAGATTCTGGGGTGAGGTGTGAAATCCTGAACTTCTGCAGAGGATCTTTCCTACCCTGAGGTGTGCCTGGGTTGGCACTGCCCACCTGAGGTCCCTCCCTTCATGCACATTCAGAATACGCTGAGCCTCTGCAGCCACCAGACTCTCTGACCTCAGAGCCCAGCCACAGTGGGCTGCCTYGTCCAGGGTTAAGTCCCCCTGGGCAGGGGATGGCTGGGAGTGAATTGCTGATGTGGGATCTGGATGCCCACAGCATAGTTTGGGACTGCAGAAGGGCAGCACCACTGCCAGGCTCCTGCCACTGAGCACTGTACAGCTACTACATCTCCCTGTCTTGGTCCTGTGGCTGGAGGAGGCAGATCTGATTATAGAATGAAATCATAAAACGTCTCGATGGAGAGCCAAACGTGGGAAGGCTAACCTCCCCTCCCAGCGGCAGCCTCTCTTCCGGAGCCTAACTAACCATGGACCCGATCTATCGGGTTGTAGATCCTTTCTCTAGGAGTCTCTCTCTTGAAATGTGAACACCCTGTGACAGGCTTTCAAGGCAGACAGGGGCCTGTAGAGGGTCCTTTCTTCGTATGCTTTGAGAGTGTCTGGGATCTGTAGGAATGTAGCTCATCACTCAATCGCTAGGCCAATCACCAGCTGTCTAAACTGTAACCTCCTAGGCTCGATTCTTAGAAACACAGCTCACACGAGGCAAACCTAAGTCATCCTGAGTTCCCACTGCCTGTGGTGAAGGCCACTTCGCCACGAAGCATTGTCTTTGTTCGGCACCTGTGAACTGCTTCTCCTAAATTCCCTGTGCAAGGTCCTTGGTCCTGTAGGCCAAGAATTCACACCCACCAGCGTTGTGACGGTTAAGAAATGATGTCGAATTTACTGTAAAAGCCCCATGTGACCTCAGCTTGGGGCCAGGACTTCTAGCACTAGCTCAGCTGGGTCTGCGGTGTAGATAACCTGAGTCTCCAACCCTCCAGCGGTGCTTGGTCTCTTGCTGAGCACGAGGGGCTGGAGGAGGGTGAGGGACCCATTGGCTGGGCTTCCCAGTCGGGCTCTGGCTGCTTCTCATCTCTGTGGTGCCCGCCCCAGCGAGCGGCCCTGGAGGGAGGGCTCTCTGCTCAGCAAGGCTGCTCTCAACATTTGCCCTCTGGGCAGGGCACAGCTCACAGGCAGAGGGCTTGAGGCCCCGACTCCTTCTCCAGCAGTGCAAACAGAAAAAGGAAAAGGAAGAGTAACGCAWTGCCTCTTACGCACCCGGAGGCTCCTTCTTGAACGAGGGAAATGGTTTCCCCGAGGAATACTTTCATTCAGGCAGTCTTCTCCTGAGAATTTTCTGTGTCTACTGTTTTTTTGAATGTGTTACATCTACTTTCCAGAAATTCCTTGTTGACTTTTTTTTTTCCCTTTTGGTAATTGGGGATTTAACTCCGGGGTACTTAATCACTGGGCCACACCCCAGCCCTTGTTTATATTTTTCTTAGAGACAGGGTCTCACTAAGTTGCTTAGGGCCTTGCTAYGTTGCTGAGGCTGGCTTTGAACTGGCGATCCTCCTGCCTCAGCCTCCTGAGTTGCTGGGATGACAGGCGTGCGCCACCGTATCGGGCCACTTGTTGACTTTCCTAAAAGAAAAAACCCACAAGCAGATACGAGAACCTGATTCCTCCAGTTGTCGGGAAATGAGAATGTAACAGACTTCCACTGAGTGGGTTGCATTTAATATCACAATGATCGAAGCCGTGTACCTCCACTGGGAAGAAGCTGCCGGTACTCATAGCACGACAGAGAGATGTCAATCCTCTAGAAAATGGTGGGCAGCACATGAAATCTGCTATTATTTTAAAGCTTCACATCCAATTTCATAGTTTCCTCTGTGCAAATTATTGCTAGCCCGTGTTCCTGTTTCTTGCACACAGAGCACAGGCATGAAAAACCAAACCAAACTTAGGAGAAGCAGTTTCTTATCTCAGTTTTTTTTTTTAACTCTTTGTATATTCTATTGAAAATAACCACTATTTCATGCAAAAAAAAAAGACAAATAAAAAGTATCTTTAGATGACTTTGCAAGATGTGCTTTATTTTAAGTCAGCCCTGAACCCAAACTACACAGGATCGTGTTTTTGGACATATTCTACCCATTCAATGGTTTTTCTCAGAAACTGTGTTTTAGTATGGAATGCAGACTACACTCAGTCATAGCTTTTCATGCTACATTGTTACTCTGTGGAGAGGATGTATCACCAAGGATAATTTAAGAAAAGGCCATTGTAATTTCCCCAAGCTTAATATACATATTTCTTTCATAATTATGAACTTAAAAAAACCCGTCTCAGATGTAAAAATGTGAATTGGAATATGTAAACTCTTTGATATGCCTGAAAAACAGGAAGGAAAAAGTCACATACTGGAAAACGGCTGCTCGAATTACTGAAATGGGAGAAGCGTGCTGGGGGCGGAGGAACCGTGGTGACCTCAGGCGTGGCGGAGTCAGAAGTCAGGGTGCTGCCCACCCACTGGGCTGGCCTGCTGGGCGGTGGGGCAGGGACCCTCGGGCTCGTGCATGCCACATTGCGGAGGGCTCTGCTGGACTCGGCAGAGCAGGTGCCCGTGGTCTGTTTTGCTGCTTTGTTTCCTGAGACGTCACTGGTGTTCCACGGGAAGATTTCTTTTCAGTCTTCAGTTAGATAAGGCAGTAAGAGTATGGCTAATGGGATCTTTTTGCTTAGAATGGGGCTTACCCTTCCGCGTCCTTGGGGCCCTGCGTTCCCCTCCCTGCCCCCTGGGAACGAGGCTGGGCCTTCTGCCTCCTGTTTCTCCTGCCCAGCTGCTGATGCTTGCCCAGTCCCCTGCAGCCGCTGCCCAGCCACATGAGCCCAAGGGGCACGCAGCACCCTGCAGTGCAGGTACAGCCTGGGCACAGTACAGGCACTGGCCTTTCTCTGAGGGGAGGGACCTGGGAGATTCTTCACATGGTCCATCAGAACGCAAGACGTTGCTGACCACAGCCAAATCGCAGCCCTGACCTCAGAGAGGAGGACTGCAGATGACCTCTTTAGCAGCGCCTCGCTGGCAAGGTGGCCCGGCGGCAGGAGGAAGTCAGCCCCTGGGGCCGCCCGTCAGAAGAGAAGCCACTTCCTGGAACGAGAAACACTTAGCTCTTAGGAGAGTATTGTGCTTTTTTAAAAATCCAAAGGTTCACATTACCCGCAGTCTGGGTCCCACGGTCTCAGTTTGTTTTTTCCCTGGTCCACTTGATCATCGTTTCTGGAGAGCGGTACAGGAATATTAATTTGGCATAGAGATCTTCTTCTAGTTCCAGTTCCCCTGTCTCTCGGACTAAAAAAATATCYGTACACAACTTCAAGATTCGATCCACATTCGGAAGCTCTTCAAACATGATGGAGTGGGAGATCCCACTGAAGAACTCCCGGACAAATTTCCCAATCACGAGGACGACCGAGGCATACAGTCCCATGATCCTGAAAAAGAAAAGCGACCCCGTGAGGAGCAGCCACGTCAGCAGGCAGCGGGGGTCAGCAGACACGTGACAAGATGGATCTGGTGGAACATGGTAAAGTTGGTAGAAATGGACTTTATGTCCTTTTTTGAAACTAGCTCCTTTCACTTTACCATTTCCATCTCAGAGATCCTGTTTGTTTAAGGTCCAGGTGGGAAATGATCTCCTGTGAGGCTCATTGGGAAATGGCACACATTTTGCTATCTTGCAGGGGATGAGCCTTGGGATTTAACCATGAGAAAATAACAAGATGGCTCAAATCTGTTTAAAACTGGGATTGTTAGGAGCCACAGCAAAAATATTGATACAGGCACCTTTGGATTTTATGACTGCCAGCCAGCAATTCACATTCATATGGTAATTGGACTCATGCTGTCTAGCTGGGCCCATTTTCAGGCTCAGGTTACTCATGTCACTCTTGTAATGGGAGAGTTCCCATTGGTTGGGAAAGGATGGTAGGAGGGTGTTCCGGGGGAAGGGGAACCCCCCGGGGCACCCCCCCCCCCCCCCCCCCCCCCCCCCGCTCAGGTAGAACACACGTGTGGCGGACCCACCTGTTAGGGGACGCACACGGCCTCTCTCTAAATAAAACTTTGTCTCAGTTTGACTGGCTTGTGTTTTTGTGCCCAACCGGGTTGCAAGATTGCAAGCCCGCGTGCACTGACAGCTCAGCAGGGAATCGCTCAGCAGGGGTGCCGCAGGCAGTGCTCGGCAGCAGGAGCGGGACTCAGCCGGCCCGGGGCCGGGCAGTTTGCGGCATGGGATGTCTTACCAAAAGCTGGAGGCAACCAAAGCAGAAAAGTGGGAACCCCATGCACGATCCCAAACTCAAATGCTAAACAGCATCATAGTGTGCCACAACAGGAAGGTACGGAGAAAGGGTGCCACATGCCACAGCCACGGGAGTCACACCAGGCACTCTGATCTCTGGGCCTCAGGTTCCCTCCATTTTAAATGAAGGGCCAGCATGTCCATCTTCTAATACAGCAGCCCTGCAGCTGGGAGTTCTCAGAAGAGAACAGGCGTGGTGCCCTGGACCCCATGGGCTAGGAGTTAGGCTCTTCTGATGGCTCCTTGGGAAAGGGACCCTTACCCGTAGCCGGCCAGGAAGCCCAGGCTGGGGGGACTGACTTTGTCATTGAAGACCACCAACTCCAGAGCTTGTGACTCCTGATCATAGATTCTATTTCCTGTCAGGTTGAGAACCCACCACTCGCTGTTGGAGTTAGTTGAATTGTCTCTGGACAGAATGATGGTGATGTTCATGAAATTGCTTTCTGGAAAGGAAGGAAAACAAAATAAAGTCAATGTGAGAGTTTTAAGATTTGATGCACTAACAGTTCTCAGATGGCAAAACCGGGGCACTCTGGGCAGCCTGTGACTCCACAATGGGGACCTAGGGACACTTGACAATGTGAGCAGAAAGGAGAAGGTTCTCTTTCTCAGCTAGAGAGGCCAGTCATGGCTCTGTGTGTGGCGGCCCAAGCACAGGGAGATGGGGGACCCACTGCCTAAGCAGGGTGCTGACCACCCCAAATGGCTGAGTGGACACTTAGAAACCTAGATACCAGCTGTGGCTGGAACTGGTGACTCATTCACATCACCAGCATGCACTGACTGCCCCAGGAAGTTAGGGCTGCAAAACTGCATATAGAATTGTTCTTCATCTTATAAGTAAAGACAATGTACAGGCACAATTTACGATCCTGGGGCAACCACCATAGGTCCAGCATTGCTAGGTCTGTCTGCTGGGGAGACTGCTGCTGGTTAGTATGATCTGTGGGGACTTCCTCCAGTAGATGACTTTGGGCTGAGTTTTGCTCAGTAAGACCTCACTGGGTCGAGAGAGGTGGGGAGAAAGGACGAATGGCACCAGCTCCGCAGAGTTCTGAAGCCCTAACACATGGTCAGTGACTGCTTCTGCTGGGCAGAGGGTGGATGCGAAAGAGCAGTAAAAGACAGAGCCGGCAAGAAGCTGGGAGCYACACTGCACAGATCTCCCTAAAAAGATCCCACCGCTGCCCAGCACAATGGTGGTTCCACTGAGGGACAGGGTGGTGAGCTGTGCACTCTGTGAGGGTGGGAACCGCAACTGCATGATTTCACAGAGAGTTTCTAGATCACAGGAGCCCAGGACACATGTGGCAGGCAATGTTGGCTGGCTGGCTGGCTAGGTGGATAGGTGGATGAGCAGATAGATGGATGGATAGATGGGAAAATGGATGGATAGATGGGTGGATGGATGGGTGGATGGAAGAATGGACAGATGGATAGATGGATGGGTGGATGGACAAATGGATGGATGGATGGATGGATGGGAGGATGGCTGCCTGGATAGAAGGCAAATGGAGATGGATGGATGGATAGATGGATAGACAGATGGACAGATGGGTGGATGGATGGATGGTTGGGTGGRTAGATGGGTGAATGGATGGATGGATGGATGAATGAATGGACAGATGGATGAAGGAAGAAGAGTTAGCAATGGCAGGATACTAGAAGAGCCAATGTCCTTATCAAAGAAGATGGTGAACCACTCAGAACACTCAGGAACAGTTCAGAGACAGATACTGGGGAAACAGGTTCCAGGTCTGGGTCTAGTTCTACCACATGCTGGCTGCATGGCTTCTCTGATCCTCTGTTTCCTCWCGTGTAACTGGTGATGACGGTAAACCTATGCTAAGTATACCTGTGCTGACCTCACTCACTCACAGGCAGAGAAGCCAGCATCAGGGGGCGGAAAGGTAAATAAGGGGGGGGCTCAATCATGCAGAAGGGCAGAAAGGGAGGTGGGCCAGGACCTGGGCACAGGAAGGGGCCTGGAAAAACAGAGAGGATACATGTTTCTTGAGCCCAGGGTGGGGGGCAGGGGGCGAGGAGGAGCCTTGTGAAATACAAGGCATACCCCAGGACCTGGAGGAAGCTTTGGGTGCACCCTTGTGGCCTACATCCACCCTGGAAGTCAGTGGGAGGATCTGCTGCAGAGAGACACGCACACACCTGGAGGCAGAGTCCAGCTTCGGGCTATTCCCTGGGCCTCACTGCTGCCTCACCCGGGCCCTCCATGTGGGATTCTAACTGCTCACTTCAGCTTTGCCTTCTGGCTAACTACTAGCAGCATGAGCCTGGCCTCAGCACCCAGCACCCCGCCTGGCGCACAGTGAATGATAAGTGGTGACAGTGAACATGTGCACTGTCCACATCTACCAGGTTGATCTGCTGTAAGTAATTAAATCAAACAAGTCTTCATTATTAAAATGCATGCAGTCATTCACCATTCAGCACCAGGAGACGTCCTGAGAAATCCACTGCAGCTATCATCCAGTGGCCCTAACCAACCTGGACTTGCAGCCTGCCACACACCTGGGCCACGTGCACACTGTCAGAAACATGTCTGCAGTGATTGACATGTCATGTGGTGCGTGAAGGTCGCCTAATGACAGGTTACACTGGACCCCAGGCCCTGGAGCGCTCCTGGTGCTCACTAGCCGTGGGTCAGTGGGGGACTCCTTACTGTCCTGATGGGAGGGGCTGACCTATGTAACGGTGTCCCAGGGAGGCTTGTAAAAGATCTGGGCGCTACAGGAAAAGAACGTGCAGGATGGCCAGTAACTCACTAAACTCGGACGTAAGCCAAAGAGGATTTGTATCAGCGAAAAGGGAAAGGAARGGTGTGGCTTCTAGGTGCACAAATGATTCCCTGGCCAGCCAGAGTGGACAAGGTTCTGTGGTTCTTACCACACAGGGAAAGAGTGCTGGAAAGTAGCTTCATGAAGGCTCAACAGGCAACTGTTAAAGCTAAATAAGAGTCAAATGCAAAGTTCTGGAGCCACCTCTCATTCTTACCAGACAAAAGCTGCTTTATAGGTTTTGAGTTCGAATCACTGGGTGCTTTCACGTAGTATGGGTAGATCCTTTCTATGGTCCTGGGCATCAAGAAAAGGAAAAAAGGTACAACTGAGTTTTAGCTGCTGCACCCTCCTGTAGTTAATTGGCACATAGAATTGATTTTTGCTGTTTTTGACCTTGTGTCGACAAACGACAATGAAGTCTTTATGCACTCATATTATGCATCGGCATCAGGATTTATGGGTTTCCATCGTCCCTGGAGCTGAGAGCATCCACCAGGTCCCCTGGATGCTCCTGGGAACTCAGAGCCCAAGACACTTGGAGGCTGGAAAGCGGCTGCCGGCACTTTCCCAGGTCTGCGGCTCCATTCTGAAGCCAGGAGCTCTCCTTCCTGCCATCGTCTTCCAAAGCTTTCCTAYGATCTTGACCTTGAGTGCTCCTCTGATTTTGAATTTTAGGATGAGTGAGGGGCGAGGAGACAGTGGTGACTAGSCCCCTCTGCTGCGCCTGCCTCTCTGGGGCTGTGACCCAGGGCATGCAGAGTCCCAGGTCCCACGGGAGATGATGGGAGAGGGCCTGGAAACCTCAGGGGCCCTCAGTGCAGTGGCTGAGGAAGGGAGTCTTCGGGGACACTGCCAAGGCCTGCGTTCTGCTGGCCCTTACGCTCGTGGGCAGACACCTGGGGTAGTTCAGGCTGCAGACCAAGCTCTTCTCCCTGCCCATTCTCTCTCAGCAGGTGCCTGGCTGAAACGGAGTTCTCGCGTGGGGGGAGCAGCTTCATTGACCCCTGGCCTTCTCCGCCCCACCTCCCACCCCATCCAGGTAGGCAGGTGAGGTCAGTGCTCCCAGGGACCCGGTGAGCAGAGAGGGAGGGACAGAGACGCTCAGCCACTTGGAGGTGGCTCCCTGACGGGGAATCTGGAGGCTGTGTGGACACACAGTGGGAACCCTAGAGCGGGCGGCCACGGAGGCCTGGTCAGCTCAGTGCAGTCCTGGACCCGCCCCCACGTGGGGCTCCCAAAGACAGTATCCCTGGAGGTGATGGCAGGACCATGGGCTCATGTCATGTCTGGACAGGTGGACCCCAGGGAGCCTGCTGGAGCTCCCACACCCCCAGATGCCCCAGAACCAGCACAAGGCCCAGTAGCTGAGGAAGAGACCCACCCATGGTGATGCTTGGGCCTGGCAGACAGACACTGCGGCTCTGTGGAAGGCTAGCAGGGCAGGGACAGCACTGGCCACGGGCAGGCAGTATCTCTGGAGCCTGCTCCACAAGGCCCTCACATGAGTGCTCACGACCCCAGGGCACGTGGAAAGAACCCAGGGCTGGGATTCAGGCCCTTTAAACTGTCAAAATGGGGCCTCCAAAGAGAAACTGCCTGGTACTCCCAGAGCAGAGAGCCGCCGTCCCATGTGCATGAGCTTGTTGCAGGATGTTCTGTGTGGCCACCTGCCCTGGGTAGAGCTCTCCACCCACAGGGCAGAGACACTTACACTGGGGTTTTTGAGCTCTCTGGGTCGTTGCTAGCGATCATGTTGGCTATGTTCTTCCGTGTGCTATTCTGAAGAGGAAAAGAGAGCTTATCTGTTGCTATTTCTGCTTTTGCCCCCAGACTCATGTTTCTGTGGAAGAAGAAGAAAAAGAAAGCCCAGTGCCCATGATTATTCAGAAGTCTGGAGGAGAGACCTAAACACACACTTGATTCTCAGGTTTAGGTGGCTCATCAAGCTTTTGCTAGGTCCCCATCTGTCACCCCAACCCCTCTGTCCACCTCACCTCTGTCCAGCTTGTAGACAGCCCAGTTCATGAGACCTGGGACAGGCACAGAGTCACAGGAAGGAGGCACAGACACTGTCTAGAGAGGGACCCTCCTGATACACAGGTCTGAGTCTCAAGAGATGTCCTGCGTGTTAGTTAGACCCACGTTTTACAAAACTCTTCAGTCAGAAGTTTATTTGTAAATTTTCTTTGGTACAAGGAATCGAACCCAGAAAAATTTAACCACTGAGCCACACCTCTAGCCCTTTTTTAAATTTAGAGTCAGGGCCTTGCTAAGTTGCTAAGGCTGGCTTTGAACTTGTGATCCTCTTGCCTCCCAAGCCGCTGGGAGGGCAGGCATGAGCCACTGTGCCCAGCCAGAAGTTTATTTTTAAATTTTTTTTTGTTGTTATTTTTCATAGCTCTTCAAAGACCAGCAATTAAAGTTTTGGTAGTTACTACAGAATCGGAGGTGAGAAATCGGGGACACTTTAAAGGAGAAAGTAAGACTAAAGAAGGAGTGCTGTAAATCCTGCACAGCCACCTTCTTTCCTGCAAAGTCACTTTGGATTCTAGAAGGCCCTCTGCTTTGTCTGTCAGCATTGTGGTGTCACGGACCCAAATAAACCTGTGACTGTCCTGCATGGGTCTGACTCCAGTCTGCGCTGGACATACCCCGCTAGGCAGCCTGTGGCCTGCTCCAGGGTCTCCAAATCTGCATCCCCAAAGCACCAGATGCCCAACCAGCATGTAAGTCGTGGCTTGTGTGCATGGTGCAAGGGCAGGAGCGGCTGCAGAGGCTGGCCGCCCGCATGCTCCATCTTGGAGACAAGACCTGCCAGGATCTGCCCAGTGCTAGGGGAAACAGGGTTGCCCGCGCTGCCAGGGGCTGTGGCTTCTCCACTGCTAAGACCAAGGGTGGCTCTGTGGCCATCTAACAGTTCACTGGGTGCCCCTCGGTGCTGCCTCAGCTTGGAGGCCATCACTCTCTTTCCTGCTCCCTCCTCCTGCCTCTGGCTCACAGAACTCACTGACAGTCTGTCTTGGCAAACTGACGTCAGGGAGAGAACAAGCAAAACCAAAGGGAAGCACAGGCATTCTTGAATGGTCAGTGGCACAGAAGGACACAGAGCCAGGCGCCCGTCCACCTCTAGCTCCTCTCCTGCCCAGCCCACCCGAGTCCAGACAGAAGGGAGGATGCATGGAAACACAGTAACTACCTCTGGATACTCCATGAAAACACAACAGAGAAGCTACTACTGAGATCCTTGAGTTCGCTTATCATTTTCTGCTTACTGGGAGGGCTGATGGTCCACAAAGAATTTGAGTTTCCTTCCAGTTCTGCTACTGTTATGTCTTCTTTTTCATAATTTTCCAGAAATTGCATAGCACCCTGTACACCACAAAGGCACAAGCACAAAGAGGTCACGTGCACCATGCTGTGTGAGAAACCAGTCGCTCTTCCTTCTAGCTGGCCTCGCCGAAGGGACCCTGCCTGGGAAAGGGACATTCACAAAAGCCCAGGCCAGGGAGTCCTGATGCTCTGTGTCTGCTGACCTCAGGGGTGGGTGGCTCCCAGGCACGTGGCCCAGGCCCAGGGTGGTGTCCCGAACCACAACACAGCTCTGGGATCTTCCCAATTAAACAGTAAATGAAAACCAGATAATTCAGCGCTTCTCTCCACTAAGAAAGAAATTCCTCAATGACGGGGGAGTGCTCCTCTCATGAGGGATAAGATCTCCCCAGGACATCCTGGCCTTGACCTGAGAGCTGCTTGTTGCTTAAGATCATCTTTTTTGGTACTGGGAATTGAACCAGTACCAAAGGCTTGGGGCGTTTAACCAACACCCCAGCCCTTTATTCCTGTGTTTTATTTAGGAAAGATCATGCTGAGTTGCTGAGGCTGGCTTTGAACTTGGGATCCTCCTGCCTCAGCCTCCTGAGCAGTTGGGATCACAGGTGTGTGCCACCACGCCTGGCTCAAGGTCATTTTTGATAGTGTGCTTGACTGGTGACCATTCTGAACAAGAATAAAGCATCTGTTGACCTAACCACTTTCTTAATTAAACACACGATCTGTAAAACCAAGCGCGATGATGGGAATCATGTTGTTGGTATTATTAACAGTGAGGAATACAGAGAAAAGAATGACATCAGTCACAGCTCTGTCCTCAGAACGTGGTCATTGTTTTATGTGGTAGGGGATATATTTCTTATCCTTTTTTGGTTTAGAAAAATAAGAGTCTATATCTTATTTTCATTTATGTTTAAACTTGAGAAATCATCATGCCTTTTATAGTCTCTGTGATGATTATTATTTTGTGTTTTTTTTTTGGGGGGGGGTACTGCAGATTTGACCACTGAGCCACCTCCCCAGTCCTATTTTGTATTTTATTTAGAGACAGGGTCTCACTGAGTTGCTTAGMACCCTGCTGTTGCTGAGGCTGGCTTTGAACTTACAATCCTCCTGCCTCAGCCTCCCAGGCCRCTGGGATTACAGAGATTATTGTTTTATTACAAAGGAAATTGGCTGAAAAATATTAAGACTCGGAAACATATGAATAAAGTAAGAGTGGGAGTCCCCTCTTGCAGCATGGCCACTGGAGTGGACCCAGGTTCACTTAGTACATCTGCCGTTAACTTCCTCCATGAGCCTCTGCATACACAGCTCTCAAATTGCTTCCAGTTTTGATTAACACAGATGATGCATTCTTAAGCAAGCACCTATGTAAACTCCCCGTGCTCTGAATTACTTTCTTAGGAGAGATTCCCAGGGTAGACCTACTGGTCAAAAGATCAATATACCACACAATTTAAAATGTCAATTTTCTTAAAAAATGAATCAATTTCTGTGGAGCTTGAATTAAAATGTTCTGAATTCAACTTATGTTTATGACCACTCATGTCCAATAGCCTAGACACAACTCCTTGGCTTCTCAAAGTAGCCAGTGGCCAGGAATCAGCTGTTTATGACRGGGAACCCTGGAAAAGCCGTCCTCTCCCCCACTGTGGGCGGTGGCCAGGTGCTCTGTCGCAGGGCAGCCCAGGACGAGGGCCTTGGCAGAACCCGCACATGCACATTTACTTACGGTGTCCCTAGAGAAAGTTCTCATAAATTTATTAAACTTCGTCTGGTCCATGACCTTCAGCTGGCTCTGTTGGGCGCTCATGGTAAAGATGGGCTGGAAAACAAAGATGAGAGTTTGCAGTCCTGCCCAGCCCTGCCTGCGTCCTGGGCACAGACTCAGCCATGACGGCCCCAGGGACTGGCTGCAGGGAGCACTTCGCCMCCTGATTATTCCCGTGCTCACAACCCCAGCAGAGCTATCCTTTCAGACTGCTGCTCCTTATTTTGTATATGTCACAGGGCTGGGGACATTTGGACTGACAAAAAGTCAATAGACATCCCCTCTATGTCCTCCTGAAAGATGGCTCCAGTGGTGGGTGAGACCCAGGTTACCTGATACCCGCCCAGGGTAATTGTGACCGACACATCCAGGGGCTGATTGATGACCCCAGCGACAGATTTGATCAGAGACATGAAGAGCAGAGGGAACCACACGATGCAGATGAGCAGGACGATGATCATGCCGCCCATGCCGTACTTGACCACCTTCTTCTTCTTCTGGCCCCGGGGCTGCGGGTATCTCTGCAACACAAGAGTTCAGAGGTTGGGCAGATGGCCTGGACCAGGGTGGGAGCTGGGGACTGTGGAGTCAGCCCTGGTTCTTCTCTGCTTGCTGGGGTGGGAACCTTGCAGAGATCACGGCGCCTTGTTACTCAGGTCGATTGAGATTCCCACGTAGATCAACTAATTCTTTTTTTCTCTTTGGATGTTTTTTATCTATGGCCTGTGTTGCACACAGTGATGGGATCTGACGTTTCAGATTGGTTCAGGCACATGACGTAACAAGATTATTTGGCCAATACACCTAACTCTTTTGTTGCAAATGTTAAATCAACAYGCAGATACGGAGGTAAAAGTCGTGATGGAAAAGAACCTGCCCTGAGCTCTCTACCTGCTCCCACGTTGGGGCCACTCAGGGCCAACCATGACCCTTCAAAGGCAGCCACATGATGAATCTAGGGACCAGTAGGTCACAAATCCAGTCCCCAGTAGGAGCTCCTAAGAGGTGGGACCTTTGGAGTGACCTGGGCGCTGCCTCCCTGTGTGGACTCACCCACTTGGGAGCGAGGGCTGTCTTAGGGTTAGCTTCCCTAAGAGCCCTTCCATCTGGGTCTCTGGCGCATTCCCTGACTCTGGCCTCGTGATGCCCCGCTCGTCCTTGGGACTCTGCCAGCAAGAAGGCCATCACCAGATGTAGCCCTCAAACCCGGTCCAGAATCCTGAGCCCCACACCGCTTCCCTTTACAACCACCCAGTCGGTGGTACTGTGTTATTAGCCACAGAAAACAGACCAAGACAGGTGACACACGACATGGGGTCACCTCACCCTTCACCTGGCCAAGGGACTTACCCAGGGCTCACATTCCCTTGGGAGGAATCCGTCACTCCCACAGGTCAAGGGAAGAGGATCCCCTCCCATGGGGAGCACTGTGCTCTAGGCTGCAATCCGGAGGGGCTGGGCGCCCGCACAGGACCCTGCTGCAGTGCTGGGTGCTCGGTGACCCTGGGGAAGCAAGCTCCTGGACTCCTGAGAGCAGGAGGGGGTGCAGGACCACCACTCAGCACACGTGAGGGAGTGTCCTAAAGGATCCTGTGCCAGGGCAGCCATGGGAGCTCAGAGGGCGGCAGTGGGCAGTGATTCTGCCGACCATAGTTTCCTGTTTCTTTCCTCTTTCTAACTTACAATTTTGAAAGCAAAGCTAGAAGTTAATATGTGAAAGTTGAAAGTTGGAAACATATTACACATATGTGGCACAGGTATGTGCAYGTAACAAGCAGATTTCTCAGGGAGGCAAGTTAGGATAAGCAACTACCCGTCCCAGTCCATCAGAGCTCTGTCCTCCTGTCCTGAAGAGTTTTGTGAGTTAAAGGAGATTTAGCTTTTGTTTGCCAGGGACAGTTTAGGTCTCTCCTGCCTGAGTGGGACCATGTCATCTCTGCTGAAGGCCAATGTTCCCAGACCCCACCCTGCTCCTGCCCCTCCGCCTGCTGGCCCCTCCCGCTGTTCCTGCATGGCCAGGGCAGAGACTCTCCGATCTGTGTTGGGTCCTGTGGCTGCTTTCCACAGGGATGGCCCTCCCTGTCCAGCTCTTGACCGTGTTTCCACCTCTCCTGTTTCATTACATTTCTGACTGGCCTCCTGCAGAGTCTTGGGAGGTGCCGGGTGGGACTCACTAGGCAAACTGAGCAGGGCATGGCCGCCTTGCGCGTGCTCAGGCCAGCTTTTGGCCTTCAGGAAGCTGCTCTTGCTTCGGGGTGTGTTGTGCTAATCTCATCACAGAGCTCATGTAAAACTAAGGGGCAATCGACTCARTGTGGTGAGGACTGAGTGGGCCTTGTGGTCTAGACTCGGGAGGCAGTTAGGGAAGACCCCTGAGAAAGAGGGGTCCAATCTGGCACCTGTAGCTTGAGAGGGGGGAGGGCTGCAGACAGCCAGGGAGCAGGCCAAGGCCTCATCTGGGAACCCAGAGAGAAGCGCCAACCCCAGGCCCCTGGGCCAGTGGAGGACGGGAGACAAGCCCAGGCAAGAGCAGAAAGAAACAGGCGCAGACACTCCCTGGCACCTGCCACCCCAGGCCCCTGCAGGAGCTCACACCTGTGGCGATGCCTTCCCTTCCCCAGGTCCCAYCATGACGCCCTGGAGGAGCTCCACCTTGGTCACAGAGTGTCATACACCAGTCTGTGGCCTGGGCTGCATGTGCTGCCTCTGTGGACTGTCAAAGCCTGACTGTGGGGCTGGCCTGGCCTGGCCTCCCTGCATCACCAGGTCCTGCAGCAGAGGTCCAGGCACACAGCATTTAGCTAGCAATTCACTTTTTGGTTGATTACACCAAAAAGGAAAAAAAAAATACATTTCAGTCGTCCTRTGTGCAGGCCCTTGGCCTTGGCTGGTCCTATCAGTTGACCATACCCTGGACCCTAGGTTGCCTTCGAGCCTGTGTGGCAGCAGGATGCCATGGCAGTGAGGGTGGGGACATCCAAGCCTGGCCCAGCAGGCTCTGCACCTCCCACACTGCCCTGGACAGGAGCCAGCGTGCGGGCCATGGGCTCCCCGGGGGTGTAGCCAACCTGGGAAGTTGTGTTTGAGAAACCCGTACCCGTGCAGGACAGATTCTGTGGTCCTTGTTCCCTGGACAGCACAGCATAGCTCTGGTGAGCACTGAGGGTGGGCTAGGTGCTGTGTGTGACCTGGAGATGACTTGGGCGCACAGGGAGAGGCCTGTAGGCTACATGCAAATCCTGAGCCACTGCAGATGAAGAGCTGGACACATGGAGCTCGGATCCCAGATCCTGGAACCAGTCCCTGCAGACACCACCCGGGGACCTCTGTACCTTCAGAGACGAAGGCCCTGTGTCGAGAGCCAGACCCTGACTCCARGCACGTGTGTGAGACCACTACATGACCTCCAGCCCCCGCTGAATGACCCCAGGCAGWTGTCCAGTTGAGCCCAGCCAAAATGCTGAGCTGCAGAAGGACAACGGTTGCCGCGTCTGAACCACCAAGAGCTGAGGGAGTTGGTTGGCAGTGAGGACACTGACCCTCCATCTGCWGAATGACCACCCAGAGCTGAAGTCCTACAGCTCAGACGTGAAATGACCCTGAGGGGCTTCGACTCCAGCATGGTGCTCAGGGAGGTGTTGAGATGGCTGAGAGACAGGACCTGTGGGGAGACGCAGGTCCTGGGCTGTGTCCTGAAGGGTCCGTGGGGCCCAGGTCTCTTCTCTTTCACTTTCCAGACACCTCGAGGAGCAGGCCTCCTCTGCCACATGCTCCTGCCATGATAAACTGTGCTGCCAAAGGCCCAAAGCAACCGACAGGGCAGTGGTCATGGACTGACACCTCCCAAACTGTGAGTCGAGACGAACCTTTCCCATGTGTAAGGATTCAACTCAGGCMCTGGGTTACAGCGATGGAAACCTGACGGATACACAAAGATCTGCTTTCCTCTCTTATTTTCCCATTTGGGAACCATGTAATTCTCCTCCTCTCATGTCATGGTTCTAGACCCCAAGTCACCTGGAATTGACCCTCAACGTCCTTCTGGCACGACTTGGATGTGGTGCGTCCCCACAGAGCCTTGTGGTGAGGCTCGGTCTCCAGCCTAACAGCACCGAGAGCTAGTGGGGAGTTTATGAGGACCTGGGCACACCAGGGGCCCGCCCTCTCCAGGGGTCARTGTTTTTCTTATGGGAATGGGTTAGTTATTATTGGGGTCCAACCCMTCTTTCCTTTCTTCCACACATGCCTGCCTGCCTTTCTGATTTTCTGCCATGAACAGAGCAGTGTGAAGCTCTCACCAAAAGCCAAGCAGATGCCAGCACCCTCCTGTCCTTCAGAACTATRAACCAAAGCCAACCTCTTTCCTTTATAAAATTACCCAGTCTCAGCTGTTGTGTTTCGGCATTAGGAAACAGACCAAGGCACTTTGTCATCTCAATTCTTGGGTGTTTCCATTGCTATCATGCAAGCACTTCTTTTTCATTTCCTGAACTTTTGAAAAATTCAACAAATAATAGTAATTTTATCTATACTTAAAACTTTAATACTCAACTTAGCAGAATAAGCCAATATCTGCACTTCTAATATTCAACCTTTTCCYTTTGCAGAAAGAAGTTAAATTGTCCTTCCCTCCAAAGAGTGGATGGAAGGTGGGCGTGAGCCCCCGCCGTGTGCCCCACCCTTCCCTGCGTGTGCTCCCTCAGGAGTGACTGGTCCTACAGCTGTCCAGTGCCTCTTCTGTTAAAAACAGACKGCACAGTCCTGTGGCCATCGAGGACATCTGGGTGCTATCCCTGACAAGTGGCCCACCCGACTGCGGTGGCGGGGACCAGGTGAGCAGGCCCACCTCCCTTGGTTCACCACAACCCCCAGGCCCCAGCTGGTCTCGTAGGCCACCCCTCTGAGGGACGAGGACAGCCAGGCCACCTCTCTGAGGGACGAGGACAGCCATGGTGCCCACATGGCCCTCACCTTCTCCGACTCTCGCCAGCACTTGAGGATGAAGATATGGGCGTAGATGTCCTCCACGCAGATCCAGCTGGACAGGCTCAGCGTGGTGTCTGTCCACACCCAGTCCATCACTGCCCTCAGCTCGGTCAGGAAGGGGACGAGGCGGAACCTGCCAGAAGCTCCGGTTAGAGACCACGCGGGGCCCGCGTCCCCCAGTCCGGGTGCTCATGCAGAGGCTCCTGAGCCTACAACTCTCCTGGGACCCTTGGGAGAGACCGAGGTGGAGTGTAGTCCTCCCYGTGCGGCAGGCCGAGGGCCAGTCGGCACTCCACCCCCGGCCCAGCTGGGACGCTCAGGGTCTTGCTCTGCAGCCCTGGCCCCCCAACGACCAGACGACGTGGTGCTCTCACCCCTGGAACAGGAACAGGTTGACGTAGTTGTAGCTCTTGGTGAGGAAGTTCCCCAGCACGCGCGTTGGGTAGCCGCAGCGGATCTGGTAGGCGGACAGCCCGAAGTAAACGCACTTCACRAAGTACCACAGCTGGGCCACCAGGTTCTGGCTGAACTTCCTGGAACGTGAACACGGGGAAGGTGAAGGGAGGAAATAATTTTCTGATACAAAAGACACTTGTTCAGAATGAAAACACAAATCAAAAACCAAGAATCTAGCTGGGCGCCCTACCTCTTGCCTATAATTCTAACCGCTCAGGAGGCTGAGGCAGGAGGATGGCAAGTTCCAAGTCAACCTCAGCAACCAAGGGAGGTCCTAAGCAATGTAGCGAGACACTGTCTCAAAATAAAACATAAAAAGGGCCGGGGATGTGGCTCAGTGGTTCAATGAACCCCGGAGTTCAATCCCTGGTAACAAATAAACAAACAAGGACCTGATTTCTCTGTCAGCTAAAGGCAGCTTTAAGCAACTCTTCATACACAGCAGAGTACTTCAAAGGCAAAAGGTGGGGTAAGGAAACCTAATAGCTTAAAAGGTTTCCAGGGAAGGACCCTCCCACCCGCATTACTCAGTTGATAGGTCACAATTAAACTAAATCACTACCAAGTGAGTCTGCATGTGTGCAGCCCTGGGTTCAAGCCCCTGCCTCCCAAACAGTAAGCCAATAGGGAGGAGGGTGATGACGACGGTGAAGATAGAAAGGCAAACAGCAAACTCATCTGCACCTGCTGGTGAGAGAGCCCTGACCAGCTGCTGATTCTCTTTGAGTCTAATTTCTTCACGTTTAACGAGAAAAATATGCCTGACTTTCCTCTTTGGAAGGAAGGTGGTGGTGAGATTCAAAGGGCTCCTGTCGGGTCCCGTCTTGGTTTCCATGCACATGCGTGATCCTCCCACGCCACACGCCAAAAGAAACTTAGAGTGTAAACTCAGACTTCGAAGAGCTTCTTTCTTCTGACAGCTTTGTTAGGATATAAGTGGCACAGATGGAAGGATGGGGCTCACTATGCATGGACATCTGCACAGTCACATGAGGCCCCTCTGGGGCAGCAGAGGGTTTCCGCGGCACCCAGTGCCCTCACCTCTGAAGCCTTCCGGGGCCTTCTGTGTGCCTTCTTCTCTCCTTTCTTCACCCACACTCGGCTACCCCTGCTCTGTGCCCTCTCCCTGCAGGTGGGCTGGAATTCTCTGAACGTGGTGTCCAGGAACACATGGCAACGTCCCTTCTGCCCGGCCTCTTCCCTCAGCAGGATCACTCCGAGATCCCGCCAGGCTGTCAGGCTGTGTCCTCCCACTCTGCACGCCAGGTGGCTTTCCCTCCCACTGCCCACTGGGCCTCTGGCCTCCTCCCTGATGTTGGTGATCTTGGAAGCTGCTGTGGACACTGGCGTGCGAGTCTGTGTGGACCTAGGTCTGCACTCCACATGGGGGACTGCCAGGTCACAGTGTGGGTGGGTAGGGGACCTCAGAGAGCTCCGAGCCATCTGCAGAGTGGCTGGGTATGCCCATCCTCCCCCAGGTATCTGCTCAGTGGCAACGTGTGGAGGAGGAAAAACGCATTTTGGATGTTGAAACCTAATACTGGTGGAGTGCAAAATGTCCAGAAACGGTATTAGCAACAGGTGGCAGTGAAGACAGAGGCTCACAGGTCCTGGGACACCCTATGTTAAATATCAGAAACTGAAGACAGACAGGCAGTTCTACCAGAAGTGGCCACAGGGTGAGGCTCCACGGTAGCATTCCAGCAGGCCTTGCAAGGTGCCTGGGACCCGTGGCATAGTGTCCCCTGGGACGTGGGCCAGCCTTCCTTCTCTGCTGTTGCCCTGGACATGACAGCTCCCAAGGAGTGTGAAACTGAATGCGATGTGTTCGGTCGTAGGTCACCCTGGAGATCTGATTCATGTAGTCATCAAGCCACGGAAGAAGTAGGTGTGTCTTTCTTACACTCCCCGATAGAGGGTCAATTGTTTTATCTTTTTATTAAATTAATTTTTAAAAAGTTTTGAGATAGTCTCAGTTGCTTAGGTTTCATTAAGTTGCTGAGGCCGGCCTTGAACTTGCAATCCTCCTACCTCAGCCTTTGGAGCCACTGGGATCATAGGCATGTGCTACCACGCCCACGCCCATCAGTTGGTTTATTTTATCTTTTTAAATTTCCCAAGTGTAGTGAACCAAGACTTTCAGAAAATGTAACAAGCAAAAACTTGAGACAGACAGAGAAAATAAGATCTCATTCTTAAATCTGATTCAATAGAGAACAATGTACTCTGTCCAAGGACTTGCCCTCTGAGTTTCTAACTCTTCCTCTCAATGCCTGGATGTATTTCCTCACATGTCACTGCCTGGCTCTTCCACAGATGGTGGTCACCTACAGACACACCAGAGCCCCTGCAGGACCTTCGCCAGAGGCTGGGAGCAGAGAGATGGAGGGCGATGCTTGGCCACAAGTTGTCGAGATATAACCAGAAGGGACAGATGACAAAGCCTGCAGGTGCAGAGGGAGGTCAGTTCCCAGACCTGAGGCAAGGAGGGGCCCCGGAGACACAGTGTTGCTGCTCCATCAGTCACAGGGAGGAGAGGAAGGGCCAGCGGCACAGAGCAGGGGCGGGAGGAAGACAGCGCAGGGGCATCCTGCACACAGTTAAGGGGACAGGATTTAGGAGGCCGATGATCCACTTTCCATGACCAAGTGTGGTTTACCATCTGTTCGATGATACAGGAGTAGTTGCTTTATGGGTCTACATCACCCCTGTATTTTGGGGGTATTCCAGCTGTATCTGGTTGGAAAGGGTGGCTTCTCGTGCTCTCTTCAAAGCCTGGTGGAGCGAGTGGCAGATAGAACCATGGTCCCCAGAGGCCTGTGCATCCTGATGCCTGTGCCTGTGTTATCCTGCCCAGCCAGGAGGACCACGCCGAGGAGACGAAGACACGGTGCTGGAGCAGCCAAGGGGGAAGCCACATTAAGCCGCGTCCCTGGGGAGGAAGTGGCAGGGAGGTGGCAGGAGCCAGTCTCTGGTCATGGTCTGCTTTTAGGGTTGTGGGATAATTGTACCTTCTCAAGATGCAGAATGCAGAGAGGCTGGGTGGCTCCAAACACTCTGGGAAGGGAGGACAGGGCATCCTATGGGGCAGGGGGCCATGGTGGACAATGCACAGCCACAGCCCCAGAGGCTGGGGTGGGGCCTGGGGTCTCCGGGAGCTGAAGGGCAACAGGAGGCACTCCACCTGTGGGATCTGTAGAGGAAGGAGGCTGAGTGAGCTACTGAGCCTCTTTCTTCTGCAGAACTAAGAGTTCCTGGAGGCTTGGAAGACCCTGCCTGTGTGATGGTTTTAAACACCAGCAGATCGTCAAAGCTCATCATGGGCCACCTTGGGTGTTGGATGTGGCTTACTTCTCTGACCTCAGAGTCAGAGGTGACCATGTGTTTGTAGAGAAAAATCTACTCATTTCAAAGACAAGCAGTTGGAGTCACAGCCTTGTCACAACGGTTCTCCTCGCTGCACAAAGTCGACTGCCAGCTTCAATTTGCATCATGCTCATGACCAAGCTGCGTGGCCCCCGCTCCATGGGGTACACTGGAGATGTCAGGGCTACGAGGTGTCTTCTGGGTAATGATGCTCTGTTTGTGCAGTTCTACCTGAGGCTCAGGAAGAGCTGTCCTCGTTCCTTTGAAAACACTTGCCCAGCCACCATTCACTGTTACAAAGCAGCAGATCTCACGGCACTGAGCACCACAGGCCAGAGCCTGTGGTCTTCCACCTTGCAGCCACCAAGTCCCCCTGCTGGAGCAACGTGGGGACCTCAGCAGCAGCTGCACAGGTTAACTGGAAGCCACAGGGGTGAAGCCATTTCCCGTTGCTTCTATTCCCACTTCCAAAAGCATCATTAGCCAGCCTGGGTGACACGCTGAGGACCCTCAGATGCAGTCATAGTGGTACTGTCCCCTGAGGCCTGCTCCACGGTGCCCTATGGCTGACGCTGCAAGCCTTCTGGGACAGCATTCCTTAGAGGCTGGCCATGCCCCTGGGGTGGACGTGGCTCCTTGGGCCCCAGGCAGGGGAGTACCTGCTGGCTTTCATCTGTGAGGCCAGGGTGCTCCTGGGAAGAGCAGCCTGTTGCGTGGACCCTTCCCGTGGCGCTCTGTGGGCTGAGCCCTCCAGGACCTGGCAGCTGACATTCTGCTTGGAGCAGTCTGCGTAGCTCTCCTGGATGGCCCAAGTCCCTCCTTGGCTCATGCATTAAGTGCCACCTTTGTCACAAGTACTGACCCTGGTGGAAGGTGGCAGGGACGCCTAGACTGCAGTCCGAGAGCAGGACAGGGTCAAGGCAGAGGGAAGAAGGGCGCAGCAGAACTGAGGTGTGGGGCCCAGCACAGTGGGCTGAAGGCCAGTGTAGGGACGGGCAGTGGCTACCTCAGGCGTCTCCGAAGCCCCTTCCCTTTGCACCAGGCTGCTTGGCACCTCCCTCACCCGACCCCCACCTCATTATAACCCACAGCAGTAGCTGGGCTAGGCAGCAGGGTCTTGGGGCAGTGCCCCTCCCACTTCCCACCCAGTGCCAAGACTCTGCCTCAGAGTTTCCATGCCTCAGGCTATTTCACTCTCCACTGTGGGGTGGGCAGGCACCATCGGCCTCCCAGGGGCCAGCGTGCTCTTCAACCAGCTCAACAGCCTCCACTCCTTCCCTCACGCCTCTGAGGACCACATCTCCTGCCCTCTGGCCTCCTGAGGAGTGCTCCGAGACCACGCTCCAGTTCCCCTCGGCTTCAGGGTGCACAGCCAAACCAGCACAAGGACCCCACCTGCCCGATGGCTGAGGCCGACACTTACTCTGAGCAACCTGCTTCTGTGGATGTGGATAAAGTACAGTCAAAATACTGTGGAGCTTTCCATTCCCACTGGGGGCTTGCACCACCATTAGCAGACTCCAAACTATGACTTTCACACCCCTGGTGCTACCCTGCCCTCCTCTGCCTGTAGCTGGTGGGCCAGCGCCTGGGCCGTGGTGACCTTGTCGCGGAGGATGGGCCACACGGCCAGCTTCCAAATCTCACCTCTCGGTCACGACAGGGAGGATGAAGAACATCCAGAAGTGAATTCCAAACACAAGAATGACCTGGAAAACGACCTTGCCCAGCACCGTCTTCCGGAGGTAGAGGGCTCGGTCCACCACCATCGTTCCAAACTGAATGAGGACCATCACCAAAAACGGCCCGGGGACCTGGTCTTCCGAGAGCGAAGAGGTGATGTCCGCAGCAGCCGAGTGTTTCTGGGGAAAGACGACAGGTGGCATTTCACGGGATGGAAAGTCACAGCTCACAGTTGGTGGCACACAGAATCCTTTGCCCCCAACCTACCCCAAAGGCCCAGAAGCCGAAGACGATGATGATGAAGTCCACGGTGTCAGCCAGGAACATGAGCACATACACGTCGGTCACTGCACTATAGTCCGGGTGGATGAGGTCGTAGAAGAACTGCCGGATGGGCACATAGATCTGCAGCGTCCTGCACAACAGAGACCCCACCCCGCTGTTCCAGGAGGCCCGGAAGGGACAGGGAGCAGAGACCACCATCATCCCGCTCCTCTGCGCTCCCTCTTGTAGCTGATCCCCTCTGCTGCCTGGGCTGGTGGCATCCTGCCCACACAAGAGCAGTGAGCTCTCTGCCAGGCGTGGGCAGCTCTCTCTGCGTGGCCCACGACCTTCTCCTGTTTGGAGCATGTGAGAGGCATGAAGCCCAGGAAAGTGGGGATGGGTTTGTGGCTGTCCACTGACTTGGATGGGCTGCGTAACGCTCTGAAAATTGGTGCAACAGTCAGACCTGGCACCAGGGTGGGGCTTGCTGCAGGAACACAGGGGGCAGGCCGGCGGTGGTGCCAGGCCTGCCACCTCTGCACGTTAGGAGCCCCTTCAGTGCAGGGCCCTGTGCCTGCCCTGGCTCCCAGGCACTGCCCAGGCCTCTCCACCTGGCTAGTGCCCTCGCTCTGGCCGGTCTCCCGAGTTCTGCCCTGGGTGCACTGTGCCCTGGCTCTGCCTTCAGTGCGAGGTCACACACAGGTGCAGCTGGCGTCCTGCTCTCGGGGCCTGTGTTCAGCTGGCCCCTTGCTCGCTTCCAGCCATGGCTGCTTGTGGACACCAACCCCTGCACCCACAGTGGGCAGGAGGGACCTGTGCAGTCTAGGGGACCAGCTGAACACAGGCCCCCGATGGTGTTGACCAAGCCACCTCCCCGAAGTGTGTCTCTGCAGCCCCTCCAGCCCTAAGATCACATCCTCTCTGCACGGCTGGGTGGCATGATCACGGCTGCGAGTGGGCACCATGAGCCCTTGAAGTCACCCACCTATTCTGTCTAAATAGAAAAAGCGTGGGTACCAGTGCCACGCACGGAAAGGAGCCACCCTCACCGAGAAAAGACTGCTCGAGCGCGGCCACAGTCATCCCATCCCGTGGGAGAGGTCCCTCCTCAGCTCCTGGGCTTCCTGAGTTGCAGGAAGAGAGCACACAGCTCCTGCACTCAAGCCAAGCACGCGTACCCCGCTGTTTTTGGGTACTCACTTTTTGATGGTGAACGCTTTGGCTTTGACGAGCTGCTCCTGAAGCTTCTTCATGTAGAGTTCCCTTTTGCTTTTTTGCTTAATACTCAAAACGCTGCTGCCCTTTTGGCTGCTGTTCCGGGTGCTGGTGCTGCCTAGAGATAACAAAGAATGAAAGAAACCACCGATGGAGTGTGAAGAACCGGTTTTGTCAACGGGAGTGTCACAGAAGGCCCCGRAGCCCATGTGCAGGAGGGGTGGCTCCAGTTGTACTGAGGAAGGGAGATGCACAGTTGCCTCATGAACACAACTGGGCAGGTAGGAGCCTTCCCTCTTACCCCTGCTTCCATGCTAAGGAAGATCCATGGGCTTTATACCTAGTGGTGGCTCTTCCTGGGGTAGCTGTTTAATCTCCGTCCCCGGAGGAAACACATTGGACGGACAGTGGTTATTGTGCCAACTAGAGTCCCAGGTTGTGGCTCTTCCAGATGGAAGCCCTAACTCATACCCTTTTTCAAATCCTAATTTCTCCAAATGTAAAACAAATATGACCCATCGGCCAGGTGGCGCAGGCTCTGCAGGTCATCACACGGAGCAGCAGACATGAGCCCCGGGCACAGAGGCCTGGCTCCTCCAGGAGTGTGTTGCTAAAAGTCCCCACTGAGAGAACACAGACACAACTTCACAACAGGCTGTGTTTCCTGGCTCCCTCCTGGCACCCTGGACGTGCTCAGAGGCATCTGTATGTACGAGGCACGAATGATCAGGTGCCTGACACGTCCTGGGTATCAGGCAGAGCGCTGGCCCCTGGTCACCGCTATATGAAGTCCTTGTTCCTGGGAGGAGTCAGATGCTCTGGGCAATGAGGTCACACGGCTACGGAGGGGGGGACTTGACCTTGGGCCTGTCTGATTTCAGAGTCCTCTTTTCATATGACGAGGCTGATAACACCTGACAAACCCCCACCTGGACCAGAGGAGGATGGGGGATCTCTGCAGCCCCAGCCGCCTCACGACAGATACCTCTTTGGGACCTATCGGAAGAGAAGCTGGACCCCGGGGAGATCTGGGGGCTGCTGCCGCAGCGTTTCCTCCGGATGGTGGTGGGCTGCTCGGGGAAGGTCACGTGCACAGACTCCACAGAGGCGGCCAGGTTGATGGACTTGAGAGAGTCGGAGGAGTCCCTCCTGCCGTGGCTGAAGGAGGGCTCGTCATCCGACTCCTCCTGGTCGCCACCATCCACGATGTCGTCTTCGTCCCACAGGCCGTGGCACTGAGGAAGCAGGAAAGTGACAACTGAGGTCTCGGCTGCAGGAGGGACGCTGGCTCCCTGTCCTGCAGCACCTGTGCCTTGTGACCAGAAAACCAAGGAGGGTCCAAGAAAGCTCGCCAGCTGGACCTGCGGGAGTCCCGGGAGCGGGGCGGCTGTGTGTCCACCACAGGTCTGGCTCGGACATGGAGGGGGGCCAGGGAAGCTTGGCAGGTGAGCAGGACGAAACGGCAGTCACTTGACTTTCCCCGTGAGCAAAAGGCTCCCCAGAACCCGCCTGTGCTCACAGCAGCATCTGAATCAACACACACACACACACACACACACACACACACACACACACACACACCCTGTCACTGTCACCAGCTCAGACCCACCAGCCTGTGTTCACCAAACGTCTGCACCTGGAGAAGGTCACCACCCTCTCCCCCTCTGCCTGGTGGGAGGAGATGCCTGGCTCTCAGGGATGATTGTGCCTGGTGGGAGGTGATGCCTGGCTCCCAGGGCTGAGTGGAAGCAAAGCTGCTAAGATTCTGCTCAAACCGCCTGGTTCAGCCAGCGGCTGTGGTGCAGGCCTGTAATTGCAGCAGCTCGGGAGACTGAGGCAGGATGATTACAAGTTCTAAAGCCAGCCTCAGCAACTTAGTGTGGCACTAAGCATCTTATTTTCTAATAAAAAAATAAAAAGGGCTGGGGACGTGGCTCTGTGGTCAAGCACCCCTGGGTGCAGTCCCTGGCCCTGGGGGTGATCAGCAATGGCGACCTCCCGCACAGCCTGGCTTCTGCTTCCAGGCAGAGTCATGGACTGCAGAGCAGGAGCGAGGAGTGCAGCAGGAGCTGGGAAGCCGGGCTGAGCAGGTGCTGCTAGGGCAGGCCCAGCAGGTGTGCACCTGCCTGTGGGGCGTGCCAGGAGCCAGAGCTTCCTCAGCACCTGATCACATGGCCAGTGCTGCTCCCCAGACCTGGGGTCCCTCCTCCCAGGTCAAGTGGCCGCTCACCAAGGGGAACGTTCTATGACAAGAAACCACCCAACAAAAGCAACGCTGCTACAAGGTGGTGGCAGGAGGTGGCCGAGACTGCCCCGGACCAGACCCAGGCCTTCCAACGTCCAGCTGGAACGAGGGGTGACATTTACGGTAAGGTACGGGCTTTAAGACACGGCACACTACTCAAGCCAGGCCCACGGCGGGACCAATCGCGACATGTCCCACCCAGGATAGGCATGTGGGGAGAACGTCTCCCAGAGTCACTACAAGTTCCCTCACCAACGTCACAGGCTTGGGAAGAAACATCCACGGGTGGACACAACTGCAGCTCGTTCTTACAGAGGAGCACACACGGGCACATCCCCCATGACTGGGCTGCCACCGCCCTGATGCCCAGGTCCCCAGGAACACCGAGGGGCCGCTGTGAGCAGGCTGAGCCCAGCCGAGGACCGGACGCTCACCTTCAGAATGGAGCGATGGAAGAAGAGAGCCAGGAGCTGGATGAGGTCGTACAGAACGTAGCCCTCCTTCTTCTCCACGCCGATGATGTTGGGGGGGTGGTAGGGCTTGTCCTTGTACAGCTCCACGTTCTTGTTCCAGGGGAAGAAGCCGAACTGGAAGAAGTACTTGACTACGATGGCCACCTGCAGGAGGGCAGAGGGCTCAGGACGTTGACCCTTTCAGGGACGGGCATACACGGAGGAAGGGCACCCACACGGTTCCAGTGGCAGGGGTGCGCACGGTCACATGGAGTGTGACCAGGTCAGCCTCATGGCCACTGAGGCTCCCCATCCTGGATTCAGCAAGGCCACCTGATGGCCCACCCTGCTGCCCAAACCATTCTTCACCTCCTCCGTGTCTGAGGACCTGGCTCTTACGCTGAGTTAGATATTTACAGAATTATTCAGATATTAAAATCTGGTACTTAGGAACTAGTTGAATAGAAACATCTATATCTTCGCATGTTATGCATTGCTTTGGTTTCTAATCCACATGACATAGTTTTTTTTATTAATGACTATTTAAAAACTTTCTGAGTCTGGCTTATTTTGCAACTTTGGTGTATGGTTCTCACCCTCCTTGTGTGTCTGTCTGTCACTGAAAAGCAGGACACAACGATTGATCTCTACTTGTCTGTGCCTCCGTATGCCTAGCACCGGTCTCAGTGCTCGACACTGATTCAGACTGTGGAGTGAACAGGAGTCGGCTTCATTTCCCATTCATGTCACTCCTCAGCGTGACAGAAAACAGACAGTCYCACCCACAAGTGGCTCCTAGGGTGAGACCGGGGTCTGACAGATGCCCTCAGGGTGGAACGGTCAGAGGCGACCCCTCCCTGAGAAGCCTGGTGAGTGTTGAGAATGAAGCAAGGCTGTGGCACACAGGTACTGACTTACAGTCAAGGACTTAGGTCAGCCTTGTTAAGGAATTAGGACTTGGGTTATCAATGCTCTAAACTGGATACTTCTGAGACGTTGTTAGGGTTAGATAGGAGGTGTCCCCCAAGAGTTCACGGGTGAGACAAGGCAAGTCTGTTAGGAGGTAAAATGATCAGATGACGAGAGCTGTGACCTGCACAGTGGTTTATTCCCCTGATGGATCAACTGGATGGTGACCACAGGCAGGTGCAGTGTGGCTAGAGGAGGTGGGTGTCTGGGGACGTGCCTTTGGGGCTCATGTTTTGCGTCCCTGGGGAGCAGAGCTCTCTCTTCCTCCTCTCTCCTGTCCTGAGCTGCTGTTCTCACCACTCCCTCTTCCATGATGCTCTGTGTCACCTCAGGCCCAGAGCCATGCAGCCGGCCAGCCAGGACCTGAACCTCTGAAACCTTGAACCCAAAGGTTCTTTTCCTCCTCTACCTTGTTGTTGCCAGTTTTTTTCGGTCACAGCAAGGAAAAGCTGACTAAAATAGATGTCTTACTATATGACCTTGTTTTAATTTGATGGCTGATTACTTGTTAACCTACAAGGTGTCCAAGCTCTGCCCACACTTGAAGAAGCAGTTCCAGGGCTACTGGAAGTAAGAGTCAGGGAGGAAAACCCACCTTCTTCACAAACCCAAGAACACGAGGACGTGGGGCACGAGGCAGTCTGACATCTTGCTTGTGGCCTCTGTATTTACAGAATGGGGCAGGACAGGAACTGGACAACTGATTGGGCAGACGGCCTCTTGTCCCTCACGCAGAAGGAGAGCATGCTGGTAGCTCACCCTCTCGGCCCTCCGACTGCCGTGTGCTCAGAGGGTTCTGCGGAGTGTGTGGAGATTGGCTTTGGGTATGAAAATGGCGGCGGCACACACTACATCCAGCCAGAGCCACTCTGCCTCGCTGCCCAGCAGTGGTCAGTGTCCCTGGGCACTAGCCGGCAGCAGGCCCTCAGCTTGGTTCTGCTGTGTGAATGGTTAATGCCACAGGTCTGGAACCAGCTCCAAGAGCCTCCCTGGCTCCCTCCAGCAGGTACGGTGGCCCCACTGCTCAGTCTTGCCCTCCCTGTTTCCTCATCTGCTAAGGGGAGGGACACCAGCACCTTCCTTGTGTGAGGAGTGGAAAGACACGCACCCCTGCCAGTGCTAGGTAACTGTCAGACCATCGTTGTGACTTGAGAAGGTCCCTGGCACTGACCGACCTACCTCGGTGTAGACAATGGCCATCATCCAGAACCGTCGGCTGGGCCTGGGCACCGACAGCATGGCCCAGAGGAAGATCAGAATGGGCAGCAAGAGGGTGATCATGGAGGCAGAGACCATGTGGTTGAGGATGATCACGAAGTAGCACACCATTTCTGAGCGGGCCACCAGCGTGTTGTACATGGCGTAGAAGAGCAGCAGGAACCGGGGCTGGCCCACGTAGAACCTCTCGGACTCTTCCAGCTCATCGTCATGGAACATCCTGTTAAAACAAACCACGTGCTCACATCTGCCTCCAGTTTCTCCAAAACACTAAAGTTCATTGAACAGGATCCTTCCTGCAGCGCCCCCCACCCAGCTTCCTGGGGCCTATAGTTTGTTTGGAGAAAACCTAACATAGGTTGAGTATCCTGTATTTAAAAAGCTCAGGATTGGAAATGTTTTGGATTTTGAGGTTTTTTTTTTTCAGATTTTGGAATATCTACATACAAAATGAGATATTGTAAAGTTGGAACCCAATTCTAAATATGAAATTTACTTCTGTGTCATATAATGTCTTATCCATATAGCCTGCAGGTGATTTTGTACAATATTTTAAATAATTTCTGTGCATGAAACAAAGTTTCATGGCATGAAATCAAGCACTTCCCACGTCATGTCAGTGCTCAGAAGTTCTAGATTTCAGAGCATGCTGGATCCGCGAGGGATGCTCAGCCTGCAGCAGGCTTTCCATAGCGGGGAACGTCTCTGGGAGGTGTTTGTGGAGGACGAGGTGCAGGGGTCCTGGCATGTGCACTGGCTCTCGGGGTCTAGGAGAACTTTCCTCCGCACCCAGCTAAGCAGGTGTGGAGCTGGCCTGGGCCTGGGCTGCCCTTACTTGTTCAGCAGCAGCTCGCTGGCCGTCAGCTCATGGGTCAGGGGCGGCAGGATGCTGGACTCCAGCTTGTCGGTGCGGCTGTCATCAGGGCTGACCATCATGTGGTTCTTGCCCCCAGAGTCATCCTGTGAGCCGAAGGACAGGTGCTCGAAGCTCACAGCTTTGCTGTAGGAGGGCGGGGCCTCCACGTCACCCTCATCGGTGGAGAACTGTGGACATTCTTCCTCCTCGGGAGTGAGGCCGGCCTCCTCGGGGCCCAGATCACACTCAGCTTCCTCCACCTCTTCTTCCTCCTCCTCCTGGGTGTCCCCAGGCTGGAGCTCGAGCTCGGGCACAGGGCCTACCACCTCCTCCTCTGCCTCGGCCTCCACTTCCTCTATGGTTTCCGTGGTCCCCTGGCGTGAGTATAGCATGGTGCACTGCGTGGGCTCACTGTCAGGAGACAGGGATGGGCGCAGAACCCTGCCTGAGCACCCACCCCACCCTCAGGATCTCTCCACGTGCTCAAGACACCTCAGAAGGCCCAAGCAAAAGCATCAAGGCATGTGAGCAGCTCAGACCCCGCCTCCCTGATTCCCCCTGCTCACTTCCCCAGGACCCTGGCTCCTGATCCGATGCACAGGGGTCTCTGGATGCCAAGGAGGATGTGGGCACACACGTCGTTCAGAAGCAGAAGCACGTCACACGGCCCTCGAGGAGCAAAACCCACCTACGCACAGGTTCGGAAACAGCATGGAGAATCAGAGGCACAAGCTCTGGTGCAGACTTCCAAATCAAGACGGCTCGGCACACCTACCGTCAGCGTCTTTGAAGATGAGCAGAAGAGTGTGTGGGGAGGAGAAGCCATGCTGGTTTTGTTGTGTGGGTTTGGACCAAGATGCGTTCTACTCAGTCCTACGAAAGGGACCCACCCAGATCCAAGGGCGATGACTTGATAAATTTTGTCTGAACTAAAAAAGGTCACCCTTCTCTGATATTGGCTTTTCCTCCTCGTTTCCTGCTCCTGTGCCTTTCCCTTATCAGTGAGTAGCTCATTGGACTACACTTCCACCAGCCTGCAGCCCACAGCCCTTTCTCACTGAGCTCCTGTTCCGACGTCCGCCATTTTCTCTTGCCACAGTGCGCTCCCTCCCAGCCGTCTGCTGTGCCCAGGGCGTGCTCCTGCTCTCCCTCCAGCACCCCAGCTTCCTTCTCCTACCAGCTCCTCCTCTCCTCTCCTTTTTATCCTGCTCTAGTCACAGCGTCAGTCCCTCCTTTTGCTGCCCTGCACTTTCCTCTCAGATCCTTCTCCCCTAACTCCCCGTAGGTGTGTGCAGGGAGGTTAGAAATGGAAGGAGAGCAGCCACACGCACCACGTGAGTGGCACGCCTTCCATGACTGCCTTCCCCAACACGGGCAGCTGCCAGAGGGGCCACACTTGTCTGGATATTTGGAAGTGCTCCTTGCTGACCGTACCCTAACTGACCGCCATGCGAGGGCAGGCTGCTTCCTCCAACGCTGAGGAGCTCAAATGCAAAGACTATCTGTTTAGACGTGTCCACGAGTGACTCATGGTCCTGGCACAGCCCTTCCTGGCATCCTGTGACCCAAGAACCCCAAAGTCTGCTCAGGTGTTCAGGCCCCCAGGGCTCTGGCCTTAAAGGACCGCATCAGGTAGAAGGTTCCTGGACTGTCAGGCCCACCAGGATTTTTGCTAAGACTTACCTCAGTTAGATACAGCCTCCTAGGACGGCCATGACATTGACCCCTCACCCAGGTCTCATTTGCAGTGTGACTGTAAGCCAGTGGAAGCACAGTGGTCTGGGGTCATGTCTCGGCCTGAGGGACTGAGGGCACTCCAGGACTCAAGGGACCAGAAGGCCTGCAGAACTTGCATCTGCAGAGACGTCCCAAGCAGGAAGGCATTGCTGTCAACGCCAGGCCCTGTTCCCTGCTGCACCGTGTCAAGATACAGGGCTGCAGCAAAAGGTGGTGCCTCTCTGATTTGCCCCACAAGCTGCCAGGGTGAAATTCATTTTGAACTGGGTTATGTTCATCTCAGGATAAACCAACAGTGGCTGACCTCCCTGCCAACCACTTAAGGCATTTCAGAGAAGGAGTTCTGGGTGCATGCAGATAATTTCATTCCTCAATGGTTATTGTTTTAAGGGCAGGACTTAGTGAGGAAACAAGCCAGGAGTAATTTTTTCCAAATAAAACAAATTGTAATCTACAAAGGTGATATATTTTACAGCATAATCACATTCTTTCCCAAAGCCAATGGTAAGATGTATTCTGACTTTTACATTAGTTATGCAAATAAAACAGATTTATTCTGTATCAACTTCAAATGACCATAGATCCCAGAGTTTTCATATTTTTTCCTGCTGTATGTATTTTGTTTTTAATCATGAGAAAAATGTTTTCTTCCTACTCCATGAGGACTATATATAAAAGCTTTAAATCGAATGTAGGGAATATGATTATGTCTTTGGAAATGGAAAGTGTGAAATGCTTAAAAAATGCAAGATAATGTCGGCAATCAGGAACGTTAAGAAATTCCTAACAGACAAAAATTAGGGAGCAGTGAGCATCATGGAAAGCTGTCCTGGGACCAGGCTGCCTCTGAGGGCCGGGGCCATGCTCTGTCAGACATGCAAGTTCTTAAAAGAAAGACAAGGTGCATCCGAGGACTCGGGGCCACGCATGGGGGAGGTGACAGACCGGAGGAAGCATGCACGAGGTGAGCACCTGGATGCTAAACTGCCACTGTCAGCTGACGAGGAGGACATGTCCATGCTGAGCATTTTACGTAGCCTAGGCCGAGCGCGCTCGCTCGTTTTAGGAACAGCGTCTGGTCCGTCTAAATCATCAAGGGTGGACTGCCTTGAGAACAGCATGGTGGCTTCAGTGTAGCAGCTAGCAGCGCAAACAGTCACAGAAACACAGAGTTAACACGCCAGTGTGCTCCAGGTCCACCCGGCTCACTGGCCCACGCACGGCCATGCAGTGACCACACGGACACCAGCACCAACCACCCAGGCAGGGAGGACCTGTCTGGCAGACACGAAACACAGGAGATCCCAGTTAAAAACACGTTGGTGGCGAGGAAGTCCCAGGAGCACTCTTGGTGGGACAGGGAAACGGAACAAAGACAAGTCCCAACAGTTCTTTCAAAAAGCATAATTTACATAATGAAAACTTGGCAATGGAGTTGTTCTTAAAAATCAAGGAAAATATATTTTATTTGGAATCGTTATCCTGAGTTCTTTGAGAGGATTGATTAATCTAATTGCATGAGTAGAAATAACTGCTCATACAATTTGCAYAGAAGATTTTAATTTTTAAAAAAAATGCAGTCTCCAAAATCAGAGAGAGAAGCTCAGGAACGACATAACCAACTGAATTTTCCACCCTGTTTTATGAGTGACATTCAGTTCAGCCAAACTWAATGCCTTGGGTGTAAGAGATGTTGGCTTTATATCCACCTGGACACCAACCAACATCAAAATAAAATCAAATGCTACAAAGAAACCAACAAAGGAGTTTCAGCAACGCCAGGTCCATTTTGTCTGTTAATGATTTGTTTTGCCTAGTTTTTATTCTGGATCATGCCTGGGCCTGGGTGGAGGCCACTGCTACACTCATCCCTGGTGCCCAATGGGACAGCACTGGGCAGGGCAAAGCAGGGCCTCCACCTGCAGGCACACAGCAAGCTCCTGGGGGGTTTCAGATGATGCTTCCCCCTGCATAGTGGGGGACGCTTGTCAGAATGTTGTTAACGTGACTTGCAGGGGTTTAAGGTAATGCTTTAGCTCTGGGAAGGTGGGCGGTACCCCATCTGACAAGTCAGCTGTTCAGAGTCGAGCTTGTGGTTTTACATCTGGATTGGAAGAAAACCATGAGGTTCCAGCCAAGGAAATGTGAACTCCTCAGTGAGGCTTCACGCTGGCCACCTACTGTGTGCTCACATTGAAAACAGGACATCAGAGCAGGAGCCTTGGAGGTGGAAAGACCACACTGACAGGGCGAGGCCAGGGCCTGAGCACCAGTCTCCACAGGAGGATCCCTCCTGGGGGGGTCACCGCCTGCCCAGCAGAGCCTCCTGGGGATTTGGAGTGGAGTGGACCAGTTACTGTTTGCAGGTTTCAAGGCTGCTGAGGTAGAGACTGGGAGTGTGGCTCAGACAGTGCGACAGGGCAAGTCTGCTGATGCCGGAAAATGGCCTTTCTCTCCTTCCCTTTCTTTAGGCTGAAAATCAAAGTCAAAGTACATTAAAAACTAATGGGGATGGTTGTGGTTTTCTAGCAGATTCTATGTCAATCAACCATTTCAGAACCTGGGAAATATTTTGATACCGTTTGTTAAACAGCAATCAATGAATTTAAATATCTCCTGACTCACTATATCTGATCATCTGTATAGTTTTATAGTTTGTGATCTTGGGTGTACTTGATTTAATTATAACCAGACTTTCTTTTTCTTATTTTTTTTCCTCCCATGTTTTTTTGATTTGTAATATTTAATGACTTAATTGGACATATTGCATATTGTTATGCATAGGAATGACATATGATTATTTTATGGAAGTTTATTTTCAGTTTGCTTTCTAGTATTCTTTTTGGTTTCTTTGATTCAGAATTTGGTGGTGAAGCAGTAATTCTCCAGCTAGGCCCATGTATGAGATTTAGGAAGCCTATGAAACCCTTAAATATCTTATGGAAAAAATCTGTATTTGTGGGAATTCTCCCCTTCTGGAGATCATGTGGCTCACGAAGTCCCCAAAATGGTTCATGCTGCTAGTCATGGTAATGATGTGATGATGGGCACAGAGAGCTACTCCATGCATCTCCCCCTCATGGCTGAACTTAGAGGTGTGGGTGAATAGTCTTACGGAACAAGGCAAGAGGGGAGGCCAAGGAATAAAAAGGCAGATGAGTGCACACTGTAAGAAACACCAGGGGAAAGCATGTTTTCTTGAAGAAATAATGCAAGGTGTAATACTCAGATCATAGAACTGCATGCATACAGTTACCTTCTTCACTAAGTGGGAAGAAATAATTCCAGGTGGGCATGAACATGACTTTCAGTTAAGTTAATCAGAGCTTTCTGTGACTTTTTTTGTTTTGAAATTCCAAAAATGAAAATAAAATTTTCAATTTTTCAAATATAGTACCAAACCCAGTCCACATTTCCCATGTGCGGAGGGGCACTGTACAAAGTGGAGGTGGTAGCATTTATAAGTGCTGAGAAATAATGAATGAAAAAATGAATGAATGAAAGTAATATCATTTGGGAAATGCACATCTAGAGAATCTCAGTATTTCCTTCATAATTATCCTAACTATTTGAGATGTCATTGGTCATGAGTAGGTTTTCTAAAATGTGTGGGCTTGGGGACTTGGGGATCCTGGTTCACCTTCTTTGGGTGCTGTCACCAGGAAGGGAGCATGGGCCAGTGGCCAGCTTGCCAGGGACAGGCCTTGCCTCCCCACCCCCCTGACACCTATACCTGTGGCCTATTCTTATTACTGTTCTAGAGCTGGGATCAAACCCGGGGCCTCCAGCATGCTTAGCACACACTCTACTGGTGGCATCCCGGCCAATCTTCTTGTTCATGGAAGAGCTACCATGAGATAAACTGGAACCCATGAGTGCCCAGGAAAATGGGGTAAAGACAAGTTTTACATTTTGGCTTAAAATGAATGAAAGAGAGAACAATCCATTTAATGACACCCATCTAAAGAYGTAAAGAGACTTCTTGCTATAAGAACAAATTAAGGTTGGCAGCTTCCAAATAGAACAGTTATTTTGCAAAAAAATAATAATAAACTACAAAACAATGACTTTGGTCTTAGCAAAGCCCATCTTCCGATGTCTTTTCTAAGACTAAAGCCCCCCTTTAGTCTTAGCTCCAGAAGGCACAGGCCCTCTCCCTCCTTGCCAATGGCAGCCCTGCACAATGTTCTCCCCAGGTGACTCTGGCATTACTAATGGGTCCAGAAACGAGTAGTGGGAAATGTGCATGTGCTTGGGAAGGAAGAGCACCAAGACAGTCTGGATCCTGGGACATATTTCTCTTAACTATTTTTTTTTCTAGGAATTAAAAAATTCCTAGACAGGATCTCAATTAGGAAACAGTTTGACCTTGAAACCTTGAGAGGTTTCTGTCCTTAACGTTGCTTCCTCTTACAAGAACACTTAATAGCTGAAATATCTGTGACTTTGCAACATATAAAGAATCAAAGATTATTCCCAAATTAAAGGAGAAATACAGTCTCATTTGTTTATCCCTGGAAGGACTTCAAAAGAATCAGTATCTATTTTGAGAGGACAGGAAGGGATTATATCTATGCAGTTTTATCTGTAAAATATTACATTTAAATCAATATATGCATGGATATATAGTTTTAACATTAAAATGAGATCTCAGCATAATACTATTCTACACTTGAGTTTTTAACACACACACACACACACACACACACACACATATATTTCCATTCCAATACATATATCTGGATCAATAGATAATTATTCTGTAGCAGACTAGGCCGGTGTAGAGGCTCAAAAACAGTAAATTAGCCAAAGTTCAAAACAGCACATCAAGTTAAAAAAACAACAAAAATAGTTTAGCCACTTCTGCCCACTTAGGTGGCAATTTTAATTTCCGGATCCCATTTGAGTTTGGTATTGATCAACCATCTCACTCCCTGCACCTACTTATCTGGAAACTCAGTCAGTGTTTGCAAAGGACCAGGGCTTCTCCCTGCCTCAAGCCTCACCATGGTGCAGTGTGGCCAGCCCAGTCCAGAGCTGGATGTCAGAGGCAGAGGGCAGGCTCCCTGCTGCTCCACATTAGCAGAGCAGGAAGCTGTGGCCTGGCCTTAGGCTCCGTTGATCCACTTAGGAGATGACCCTTTCTTTATGGTTGTGTCCAGAACTGAGCCCAGCCTAGAAGGGGTGCTATGGCATGTGTAAAGAGAATAATTAATCCACACATGTCCTCAGTGGTTCTGTTCCTGACCTAGGAAATGACCACAAGATGGACTCGCTGGGTTAGTGAATCACCTAGGTGACGCTGTTTTTCCTCCTAGGACAGAGACTCCTGCTGGGACTCAGAGGCCAGTGTGGCACACTCCTCAGCAGCAACCCAACACCTGAGTGCAGAGTCCCCAGGCTCCTAGAGGAGTCACACACTGGCCTGGGATGCAGGGAGAAGCAAGCAGACAGCACAGTACTGCAGCTCAGAGCTGGGCTCGGGGCTGAACCACACAGCTTGGATCCTGGGTCTGCTTTATCATTAAGTTTCCAGCTACATGGCTGAGTGAGTCTCTCAGCCTGCCCTTAACTGATCCTGCACGCATCTTGCAGGATCTAAAAAGATAGCATGAGGCCACCTAGGAGCAGTGTCCAGTGCTGGCCCGTGGCGGACATGTACTGCACAGACACTGTTGGCCCTGGATCACCTGCCAATCCTGTGTGGAACAATGCAAGCATCCTAGCACTCAGGGATGGTGGAAGCTATCAGGATCATTTCTGGAATTTTTATTCTAAGCCCTAAAGTAACAATTCTGAAAGGAAATATCCAGGATAGCAACAGAAGGTAGAGAACCCCAGTATAGAAGACACTCTTGTGGAATGGTCATTCTGAGAGGCAGCAGAGATGCAGTCCCTGGCATAAACCGAAATTTGGGGATTGGGAAGGACCGATCTTGTTCACCTCTAGCTTGGAAATCTCGATACCATTCCTATAAAACACACGAGTGTTTCTTATCCTTTGTGATTGATATCTGTTTTTATCTGGTGTGGTCAGGTGAGGACAGTTCTTCCGACATAGCTCTGTGGATGGAGATCACCAGCAGGGTTTGGGACACCATGCGAATTTTTTATTAACTTCCACCTCATTCATTCATTCATTTCTCATATTTGATGACGTCTACCTCATCACATTGACCAAAAGCAAATGCATTGTTCAGAAAGTGAAATACCTGGAGATACTGTCATGGGAATCTAAGCTATCCATCCTGTGGGCTGTCTGGGACCCYGGGGCTGCTCCAGGCCGCTCGTCCAGTGTGTCCAGTCCCGACTCCCTGGACAGGTTCATGATGTGGTTCTGATAGTACATGTGAATGCTCTCCCGCGTCGGGACGTTGCCCTGCAGACAGGGGACATGCCTCAGTTCTTACGGAAGCACCTGCCCGTGAGCCACCTGCCATTTCTCAGCACAGACGACTCTCAGCACACAGGTCAACCTGGAATATGGACTAACGTGATGTAGGCAGGTTGGGATTGATGTCACCTCATGTAGGGTCACTCATGCCACTCAGTAGTACTAGGAATTCTAAACGAGAAACCCCTATAATATGTACGTAGCTTTGCTAAATCTTATTACCTCTTCCAGAAATGGATATACCTACATGACTACTGTATATTTTATTTCTCTGCACAATATGATAGTTTTTCCTAGAAGAAGTTTTGGATCAAACTTCCCATACTGAAACTATAATTCTACATAGGGCACTGCAAAGTCTATAGGCATGTAAACAGAACAAATAAACTAGCCATTTTTGAAGGTGCATGTGGTGTTTGACTATTTTAATCCTGAGCAGGGAATAGGTTTAAATACAGAAAACCAAGAATTTATGTAATGACTGCCTGGAAAGAAAGGATTTTGTCTTACCTTATTTAGAGTTTTAGATACAGATTGAGAATCACTAGTCTGAAATCTGAAATGCTCAAAAATTAGAAGCTCTGAGTGCAGACATGTTGCCACAGGAGGCAAACTCCATACCTGCCCTCAGGTGCTCTGCAATTAAAAATGTGTGTGCACTCACAAAGACATGGCACGGAATGAGCTTCAGGTGTGTACGGAATATAAACGCCTTTCATGAGTAGACTTGGGTCCCCATGCACAAGGCATGTCATTGTGTATACACCAATGTTCCCAAATCCAGAAAAACTGGGCATCTGAAACACTCCTGGTCCCCAGCACTTAGAATCGGGTGACATAACCTGTGTGTTGAATTTGAAAGCCCTTTCAGTGTGGAAGAAGCAGAGGGATTGTGCCCACAGGGTACCTTCTTGATCTCCCTGGTCAGCATGCACCTCTCGATCCTCAGGACGGTGGATATGTCAATGTGCTCCCTAGAGATGGAGTTGAGCCAGGTGGTGAAGCTGTCCACCGTTGCCAGGAACAGCACCCAGGTGAACTTCAAGATGTTGAATATCCTCTTGATGATATTATCTGGAGGAAGAAACACAAGATTGCAAGGGAACAGAACTCCATGGCTACCGTGCTRTCCTGTGGCACAGTGGGGTTTAACTGGAGCCAGGCCTGGTGTCTGCCCTGCACCCTGGGAAGCAGTGGGGCCCCTGATCTTCAATGTGACATGGAGGAGGCCTACAGCCAGAAGGCCACGTGGGGACTTACACATGTAGAGGCCAAAACAAGGCCAAAGGAGGGTGGAATTTGTAATGTTTGACCAAATATCAGTCAAAATGGGTTCAACTGCAGTTGTCYCTCAAAAAACAAGGAGATTGTTCTAGGACCCTGTGGACAACAGATTGTACAGTGTTCAAGTCAAAAGGGTGCAGCGTTTGCAAAGGGCCTGCACACATCCTCCTGTATGCTCTCAGTCATCTGTAGATGACATGATATCTGATGCAATGCAATTGCCAGGTAAGCAGTTGTCATACTGGGTTTTTTAGGAAATAAGGGCAAGGAAGAATGTCTGTACATGTTCAGTGTGGATGCAGTTGTTTCCTGAATCTTTCTGATCTGCAGTTGGTTGAATCTGTGAGAAAAGGAACCGTCATACATGGAGGGCTGACCCTAACAGGTTTACTAAGGYAGAGACTGCATTTAAAGATGACTCTGTCATTGGCACAGGACTGATAGTCTGTCCAGCTCCTCAGGGCTTTGGAGGGCCTTCTGGTTTTCTCCTGTTCTTCACCACTGACTCTTCTCACCACACTTGCCTTGCAGTTAGATCATAGCAGAACTGTCACTAGACAGCTCAGTGCGCAGAGTGAGTCTGTGCCATCCCTGGGTCTCCATCATGCTCACACTGCATTGTGCTAACTATGGCTTCTGCAAAGGTGTCACTCATCCCCTGTCAGCAGAAGCCCTGAGGTTCCCCATGTCCTTGTGTCTTTGTCCTTGTCCAGGAACGGGGAGCTGGAGAGCTGCAATGTGGGAGCTGAGCTGACTCCCCTGAGCTCAGGTCGTGGACAGCTGCCCAGGTCCACAGAGGGTTAAGCCTGAGCTCCCTGATATCGTGGAAGGCGGAGGAGGTAGCACAGTGGCGACATCGCCTTTTGGAATATTCATCAGCCTCAGAGAAGAAGGAAATCCTGTCACTGAGACAACATGAGTGAACACTGAGGACGTTATGTCAAACAAAATAAGCCAGATGCAGAAAAGCATATGCTGCAGGACCCACACGTGGAACCCACTGAAGCAGAGAGCAACCAGGTGGGCAGGTGCAGGGAAGGAGTGTGTGCAGCTGCAGGTGGAAGCAACGTGGAAGGTCACTGGCTCGGAGGGACCAGGGACTGTACAGCCCTGAGGTGCACCACGAGGACCAGCTAAGGGTGCCGTATTGTATGCTGGGAATCTGCTATGTAGCCCTCTTGAGGTGCCCTTTCCACACACACAGGGTCACCACGGGAGGTGTGGCAGGCTGATTTGCTCGAATAGTCACCACCTCACCATGTACATGGAAACTGCATGTCATGCACCATGAACATACATTCTGACAAGAGAAGAAGAGTGAGTGTGGCCCACTACCACATGACCTGCCTGCCCTGCTCACTCGGGTAGACCAGGTCTCCTCAGCCCGTGGTTGCAGGGTTGCTGAGCCCGACCCACTGCGGGCAGGCCTGACATCCATGACCCATTCTTGCTCTCCACTAACCCTCTCTGCTCCGAAGGCCACAGTGTGAGTCAGAGTTGGATTTGTAAAGAAAAAGTACAGCCACTTCTGAAATAGGTGGCCTAGGAGGAAAGCAGAACTTCTCTCAAAGATTTGCTCTTTTCAAAAGGAGAAGCATCACAGGCAACTTAGCTGTGAACTTCCTGGCCTCTGGACAAAGTCCAGATGGGCCAGCTGGAGACAAAGAAGAGCTCAATAGTTTTATCCAGCAACAGATGGGGTTTGGAGGTGCCGGCTGGACCCCAGGAAGACAGTTGGTGGTCTGGGAAAGGAGTTGGGAGAAAGACCTGGAGAGAAGGCCCTGGGCTGCCCATGTCAGCCAGGCCCCGGAGCAACAGCAGGGCAGAATTGTGATGTCTCACGGTCCCTGTGAAGGTGTTTCCTGCCACCTCTGCCTCCCCTGAACCTCTGCAACCATGTCCCACATCACAATCTGACACAGATAGCGAGGGCCTGCTTGGCTGAGCCAAGATGCACAGGTGGAGAACAGTGGCCACAGAGGCTGAAGGCAGCGACTGCACCACAGAAGGCGTTGCGGCCGAGGGACATCAACCCCTGGGCTGTTCTCTCCACCTCCTGTCCTCCCAGGGACTGTCTCCAGCCAGCGTGTCACCCACACCAGTGTGGACAGAGCCTCGGGCTGCTCAGTGTAGACTTTCACTCTTCTCCCAATGTGAACCTGATGTCAGAAGTAAGATGGCGGCACTGCAGAGGTGAACAATGCACGCTGGGTCGCCCCGTCACTGACGCAGAGTTAGGGTTTACGTTTTACCTGTATTTAACCACCGAGGTGGTAGGGCAGAGGCATTCAGAGMGCAGACTCCGGACCCAGACTCCTTGCTATTGGGCCCTAGCCCTTTGTGGTCGTATAGGCCTGAGAAGTTAGTGCATTTTACTCTACCTCAGTTTCCTTATCTGTTAAGTGGCAACGAGAGTTTTTGAGGGGGTTGAACCAGTTGATAGGGCTACAGGTCTTGGGAAAGGGCCTGGAAAACAAGATAGGTATCTAATKGGTCAGTTACTATTAGCAAACAAAGCTTTCAGGAAAACAGAATATCCGGTTTCATGGATCCAGTTATCTGGAAAAGGAGGGTGTCGGGGGAGGACCATGAAGGTGTGAGGGTGCCTCCTACAAGTCTCACTTAGTGCCAACTGGAGTCTCAGATGGAGTCTGGGAAGCTCAGGGAGGGGCTGTGTGCAAACCTGGAGAAGCTGTTGGGGAACTGTTTTGGTTCTCCTGTTTGCTTCTCATCCTTCCTGGAGAAAACGTCTCCAAATCACGTGCTTGGTAAAACCCAAGCAGTACCTCGAWTGGGCCTGAAGTTTGCAGATGAGGGTCCTGTCCCTTGGTGCTGTGGCATCTCTAGCAAGTGGCTCCATGGGACCTGGTTTCCCCTTTTACTGTAGGGCCACAGGACCCCAGCTTCTAGAGCACTTCCCACTCCCACATCTGCTCACCTGTCKCTTTTCCTTCCTTCAGTGCTTCTACAAACAATAAAGGACTGAATATTTCAAAATAGCTAAAAGAATTTTGAATGTTCCCAACACAAAGAAATGACAAATGTTTGCAGCGATGGATGTGTTACTACCCAAATTCCATCAGCACACATGGTAGACATGTAGCTAGATATCACCCTGCACCCATGAAAATGCACAATTATTATGTATCAACTAAAAAGTAAATGTAAAAGATTATGCAAGACAATAAAGATTGATTGCCAGTTCTATTCCTGCCATTAATCTGATGGCTTCCAGGGGACACTGGGATTTGTTCACTAAAACCCTCTCCTGGGCACTTGCACAGAGGACTTTTCAAACAGACACTAACCCAGCATTCCACCCGGCAGCACAAAGGCCAGGGGTGCTTCTGGAGCCGCTGCAGTGGAGATGAGATAAGAGGGACGCTGGTTATTTAGCCGCGGTCCCGAGACAGAGCTGGTGCATTACTTTTCAGGAGCCTTCCATATGTGACTCCTGGGCAGCTCTCATTTCCACACTCCCCAGGGCGCACGCCTGTCTTTAGCCTGTTACCTGGTCCATCAGACTTCTTTTTGACCGGTTCGTCCTCTCGGTCTTCCCATTCCACCGCACCTGTCGAGGTGTGCCACAAAGATGAGTTAGGTGCCTTTGGTAACGAAAGGCCAACGCTACTTTTCTAGATTAACAGGAAATGTATAATTCAAGGTAGGGCGTTCTGCCTATTTTAAGAGTTCCTGGGGAAACATAAGAATTCAATGTTCAAGTTTTTTTAAAAAAATCATTTTCTTATTGGTGCAGTAGAGTTACGCATGGCAGTGGGTCTTGGTGTGGCACGTCCCAACATGAACAACCTGATGGACCTCACCCAGYCCCCTTGGTTCTCCCTCGCTCCCGGCTGCCCTTCCTCTGCTCTGTTCATGGTCTCCCCTCTCTTTTCAGGATTCCTTCCCGCCCCCTTTTCCCTCCTTTCTCTCTGGCTTCCACAGAGAGAAACTGCAGAGCTCTTGACTTTCTGAGTCTGGTTTACTTCACTCACCCTGATGCTCCAGGGTTCAGATGTTCTTCACTGCAGAGTTAGAATTACATGTACTGGTCAACTCTGGCTGGCTCATATTATTAGAAGACAGCTTATGAGTTGTGCCTGGCCTTTGAATCTTTAATAGTTTGAAAGGTCTGCATAGAGTAATATTTTGTGCATGTAACAATTATGTTAAATTCAAATGTTAATGGGACAGAGCTCAGCCCCTTGGTGTACTTCCTACGGCCACTTTCACTCCACCTGGTAGGGTTGAGCAGCAGCTGAGACCACAGACTGCAAAACCTAAAACATGTACTATCTGCTCCTTCACAGAAAAAGTTTGCCAACTCCAGATGTACACTATGAAATCTTAATTTTTGATTCTTTGGAATGATGTTAACACATTTTGGTTTGCAGTATCTGAATAAGACACCACAAGGTTTCAGTTTGTTTCTTATCCTATAATTTAAGGTTAAAATTGTCAGATCTAGCAAGTTAATTAGAAAATTCAAATTTAACTGGGTTTCTTGTGCCTTATCTGGAAGCCCTAAGAGAGCAAATTTGAAAAGATGATATGACTTCAGTTAACCTTTTCAAACTTGCCGTCTGGTCAATCTTATGATCTCACCTCATTTTCTACAGCTGCTTATTTCCTGCTTGGCCAGCAAAGCCAACCTGCTCTGTAGTCTTCAGACAGGACCTTGGGCCTTTGGCCAGGGTGCCACTCTGTGCACGCTGCATCTCTGACTCGCTGGAGCACAAGCAATCCTGTCTCCTCCTGCTCCCCACTGTTTTGTCTGTGCTTACGGTTTCAGTGGGGTTTGCAGTTCCTGGGCCATCAGGATTCCTTTTCCTGCATTTGTCTTTGGGCTGGTTAAGACAGAGGGCGCTAGAGCCCAGGGTCTGGGATGGCCTCTAGACCCACTACTTCCTGAATGGCTGTGTGACCTCAGGCACATTACTTCCCTCTCTGGGACCGTCCCTGCCCATGTGCAAGACAGGCTAACTAAAAGGCCCCTGGGCTGTGGCAAGGAGTCCACAGCCACTGTGAGGAAGCACTGAATAGCACCTGCCCCTCAGGACACACTGTGCTTCCCATGTCCAGAGGGACGTGGAGGAAATGTCACCTTGATCTAGAAAGTGCCCAGTAGAACTTCCTTTGGGGTGTGAGTGTCTTTAGGTCATTGYTGTCTCTGGTTTGCAGGTAAGCAGCACAGCACCTGCACTTGAAATCATCTTTATGAATGCAGTGCGGAGCCAACGACAAGATGACCAGGGACATATTCTTGGAACTGGCCAAAAAGTGTTGGGAGAACAAGTGCTTGGGAATAACAAGGGTAGTGAGGGCAGTTTGCCTCGTTAAATAGTGAAGCTAACTGCATAGCTGCTAGACTCAGAAGCACGTGGCTCAGTGCTTCAGCAGGAGAGTGCAGCAGAACACGGAGCCCCAGTCACACCGGAGGACAAGCAGAGCTCAGTACCCACCAGAGTGGAACTTAACTCCAATAACGAGAAGAGCCACTTCATAAGTAGGGGCAACATAATTACGCATCCATGTGAGAGCTTAAAAATCATTTCTATTTCCTGGAATAACTAAAAATTTAAGATATAAATAAACTGAGTAGGAAATACAGAAAAACATGTGCTTAATTTTGAGGTGAATAGAAGGCACATCAATGTCTTTAAAATTACAATGAGAAATTGAGACACATGACATCAAAAGTTAAAACTGGTTCAGCTACAGCATACTATCACCAAGTCAGACTGTGAGTAATGAGCAAGAAGAACACGTGTGACACACGAGAGAGGACAGTGTGCCTAGCAGTGACACCAGCTGAGAGGAAGGAGCCAGCCTCCCAGCAGAGCTATGGGGAATAGCACCGTGTTCACAGCTCAGATCACCTACAAGACAGGAGACAAGAACGCCCAGCCCCGTCAGCCAGGAAGTCCACTAAACTCAGATGAAAACGAAAGCCATTTCCATTTCTCAGAAAGATGAAGCTGTAGCAAGAGGAAGCCCTTGCACCAGACTTGTAGGAATCCCGGTGCTGAGGCCTCCTGGAAGATGTCTGTTACAGTGAAGAGCCATGTCCCTCAGCCCGGTGTCCCCGCTTCTGAGAACTGACTCCTATTGTGTGGGAAACGCACATTCTATCTTTGCTAAACATTTAAAGACACTCACATGTGACTATAGGTCAGTTTTTTTGCAAGGACACCTATTACAGCCTTAAGCATTATGGCAAAAATCTGGATGCAACCCTACGTCCATTAAGGATGATGCAATTGAATAAATGATGCATATCTGTACTATAGAATCTCTGACAACCATTAAGAAAAGATGATACAGGTTCATAAATACTTAATTGGAGAAAAGTTCTGGGGATGCTATTAACAATAGTACAGGAGAGACTCGTGGAGCATCAGTTCAGTTTTGAAAAGCCCATAACGGAGACTTTTGCATGTAACAAAGGGGTAGACGCAAAGCCAGGGGGTGAGGAGTTGCCCCTTYGGTGCTAGATCCCAAGGGTGGGGCCTGGGCGGATTGTGGCCTGCCTCCCTGCCACTGATTGCTTGGAGTGTGTATTGCTTTTGTCTTTTGAAACTAAGTAAAATAACATTAAAGTTGCCAGGACATATCAGGGGGAAGAAAGGTCAACAAGCAGAGAGGTTTTGCAACTAAARTTACTTTAGAAAATTATTCCCCATTTGATTCAAATGTATGATATGTCAAGATCATTGTATTGTCATGAGCAACTAATAAAAAAAGCAAATATGTTTCTTCTTATTTTTGACTACCTTTTTAATTTTACAAGAAATTTGTAGATACACTTTCTTTGTAAATAATCAAAACAAAACACTTAATCTTGACCATACACTGAGTCTCCACTCTCCCAGAAGTGACCACTGCCACTAGGTACTGAGTGTCCTTCCCAATCTCCCTCTTGCTTGCAGACACCAGCACATTACATGTATCCATTAAAATAYCAGGGCGTTGTTTCCTTGTTTCGTGAATGGTTTCATTATGTGCATGTAGTTTTGCAAAGAGTCTTTTTTCACTTAATAATATGCTGGGGATTGTTCTCCATGCTGATTCAAAGCCATTTGTGTCATTTTAAAATCACTGAACAGTATGATATCGTCTATTGATAACACAAATTCATTCAATTCTTTTTTTAAATTCTTTTTTTAGTTATACATGGACACAGTATCTTTATTTTGCTTATTTATTTTTATGTGGTGCTAAGGATGGAACCCAGGGTCTCTCACGTTGGAGGCGAGCGCTCTACCGCTGAGCCACAACCCCAGCCCTCAATGTTTCTTTGCATGAACATTTAGGATGTTTCTAAATTTTTGTTATTAACCCATACGTCAGATGGATATTCTSAGACGTGAATTTGTGCACATGTACAGACATTCCTTCATCTAAGCCACACACCCACTGGTGCGACTGAGCTGTAGTACAACATGGCCCTTCCAGCACCGCTCCAGGCTGGTGCGAGTACATCCCTTCCCACCAACCCCAGATCTGTGACATGTTTTGTCTCTTGCTGATCCAACAGGTAAACATAATTTAAAAAGCCAGTATGTCTACATATTTAGTTTGTGTTTCTTATATTACTAGTGAGACTTGGCACCTGGGGGGCATTTTCGTTTTCTGGTCTATGAATTATTTTTCATAGCATTTTGTTTATTGGGTTGAACTTTTCTTTTATGCTTTTTAGGCATTCTTAACACATCCAAAATACTAGTCTTTCGTGTGATACGTGTGTGTGTGTGTGTGTGTGTGTGTGTGTGTGTGWGATGAAACTATGATCCTGAGCATGCAGCTTGCACTTCAACTTGGCTTTGGTGTTTCATGATGCTTTTTCTCCTTAGAAATGTGTTCAGGTCCTATGTCTTGGCATAATGTTGAACTGAATGTTGGCAATAAGATATCTTTCTTTTTTTCCTTACTAACTATTTTTTCCATAATGTTATTTGTGTATTAGATAATGTTGTCTATTTTTTTTTTATTCCTGAGTATTATTTAAATATATACCCCACAMCTTTATTTTCTGAATCAAATTGCTGAAGGTTCAGTCTTTCTTATTGACTTTTTCCAAGAGCAGCTTTAACTTAACTCTCAGCCCTCCTCTTTTGTTTCTTTTTTTGGTTACTTAGTATCACCTAAAATTAGTGTCTTGCCTTCTGTTTTCTTAGGATTGACCTTGCTCGGTCTCCCCTCCCATCTTATGGTATTTATCTTAACCTGTCACTGTACCCAGCGGTGAGTGCTAAGGGACAAATGAGAGCCTCCTGGAGCTCAGGGGTGTCCTCCCTGCCATCTGCCCCTGCAGGGCCATCCGCTTCAGGGCCCAGGGCCGGGGCGCTGGCCCCAGCTGCTGCCCCTTCCACACTCACCCTCCCCAGAGCCTTTCCGTCTTCGCTTCTGCTCTTCTCTTGCAGACTTTTTCTTCTCTTTCCGCCTCTGGCGAAGGGCTGTTTTAGGGTCAGTAATCCAGGCTTGATAGACAAACTGAAGGGAGAAAGTTCAATTATTTCCTGGCCTTTTAATAATTYGAAATGGAAAGACCAGGGACCTACATAAAGCTTCCTAACTTGGGGAGATCAGCACTATGTTCTAATAGACCTTCACCTCCTTCTAAGTCGCTTAGGGAACTTGCAATAAGTTGATTGGGGCCTTGATAAATTGCTAAGGCTGGCTTGGAACTTGCAATCCTCTTGCCTCCGCTCCCCGAGGGTCTGGGATGACAGGTGTGTGAGATCTGCATGACCTCATCCTTCAGCAGATGACCTTTTAAAAGTAAGACCACCAGACAACCAGACTCCTCTGCCTATGCTGAGCTGGTGGGGGCTGTTCCCATCGTCTTGAGATGCAACAGGAAAGCAGATGTTATGGGCACATATTTCATTTGGTGTCACAGAGAATCATGAGATAAACTTTGGGTATGTACAAACAATCATTTCTCCAAGTCCCAATTACCACAGCCATTTGTGACCCTAAATTTCCGAGTCTTCACTACACATAGTAGGAGCATCTGGAAGCCTCACTAAGTGATTCCCCTATCACTCGGAAACTTCTGAGTCGAAAACCAGTGCTTCTCTGTGATCTTACATTGGAGAAATGGTCTTGCCCATTCCAGGCTCCCCCTGGGCATGACAGCTCTTTCCAGCAACTTGAGAAAGGGCCTTGCAAATGGATTAGTATTTTTAGAGGAAAATAAATGATAGCAAGGACAAACGGTTATTTCAGAATAGCATGGAAGAAAACCTGTGGTACTTTTGGTTGTCTTTTGTTATTTGCATTCAAGAGCTGAAAAAAGTGGCATTAACATATTATGACCGAGAATCAGGAAAGAGCAGTTWTGAACAGCCTCCCACTAAGTCCCCAGAGTCATGCAGAAGAAATGAAAAGAACAAACTGACACACCAAGTCAGCCATCTAGAAACCAGGAAGCCAGGCAGGCATGCTCGACATGCAGCACAAACACGGGTCTCAGGGAAGCTGGGTTTTCCATGGTGATGATTAAGTCAAACAGTTTTGTGGGAGCTCTTATAAACCCAGATAGTTTCATTTTATTCTAGATTATTTTCAGGTTTCTGGAGTCTTTGAAAAACACAGCACAAATAAATCACTGGTATTGTGTTGTCAGGAGAAAATAAAGAGGGACTCAACTTTTCCATATGAGCAGGAAAGGGCCACAGGCTGAGAAAGAACACTTCCTGTTTTCTCAGAGATAGAAATCTAAGTTGGGCAATTAACATAGATGCAAAATATGTATCATTTCTGGGTGACAAACCCAGGAGGTAGAAAATATTTCCTATTTTTTTTTTGTCAAAAACATATTTAATACGATGAGAAGATGAAATGGAATTTGAAGAAGGACAAGGTAAAGGGATTTTCAGTCACTGGGTGTGTTGACTGAGAAKTCCGTCAAGGCTGGCTTTCAGGTTTAGCACCGTAAGAAGCAAACTTGCCTCAGCGCAACACGGGATGTTTTTAAAAGAATCTGACCTACTAAACGTTCCAGAAATTTTCAGGTATAAGAGCAACATATAGTGACATTTCCTTTAAAGAAAAAAGTGTTATGACAATATTGTTTTAGATAATGAAAGAATCCCCCAAAGAGAAAATAAACAGGTAACTAGGATTTGTGAGTGTGGCAGGGCCACCAGTTGGAGGAACTCTTTACTCTGTAGAAAAATAAAGAGTTGGGAGGGGAAGGTAGGATGAGGGAGGCCAAGGGCAGCGCTGGGCCTCACCCTGTCCCTGCAGCAGGGGCTCTGGCGGGGCTCCGTTGGGGTCCTGCAGTCACGCAAGACATGCCCAGGGTGAGAAGTCAGATTTTGCTAACCATGTGTGTGTGTGTGTGTGTGTGTGTGTGTGTGTGTGTTTATTTTTTATTTTTTTGTACTGGGGATTGAGCCCAGGGGCATTCTACCACTGAGCTACACACCTGTATCCCTAGCCCTTTTTTCTTTTTTCTTTTGAGAGAAGGTCTTGCTAAGTTGCTGAACTTGCAATCCTCTTGCCTCAGCCTCCTGAGTCGCTGGGACCACAGGCCTGTACCACAATGCCTGGCTCAGGTAAGTCATCTTAATATGGATGTTGTGACAGTTCCAGAAAGGTCTTGTCAGTTTTGCCTTGGTCTGACTAGTTCAGACAAATGTTTCTGAGAGAGGAAACATTCCAACTGAAGAGATGGAAGGTTCTTCCTGGACTTTCTGATTRTTACTTTGTAGCTGTAAGTGTCTGTCATCAACTGGGCTGGTCTGTCTGGGACTCAGGCACTAACCACACCAACCAYCTGTAGAAAACTCCATGGAAACACGCATAAAAGACCTTCAGGCTCAGTGAAAGGCCACSACTGCTGTACGTCCCTGACATTGGCATAAATTTTATCTCATATGACTTTATCTTAAATTTATCATCCATATTGGGGATAATGGGATTCTTTCTACTGRACATTTATTATGCAAAAATGTCTGTGTTCTTTAAAACAGGGAGAGCCTGGTTGCAGTGGATTCCCTTCCCCATGTCTGTGCTTTAATTCAGGTTTATCCAGTACCTTTTTCATTCTGTCTGTAAGAGGATGATTATTTATTTCTGATACCAGATTGAATTCAGGAGTGCTCTACCACTGAGGCACATCCCCAACCCTTTTTATTTTTTACTTTGATACAGGGCCTCACTAAGTTGCTTAGGGCCTTGGTAAGTTGCTGAGACTGGCTTGGAACTTGCAATCCTCTTGCCTCAGCCTCCMGAGCCTCTGGGATGACAGGTGTGCATGACCTCACCCCTCAGAAGATGACTCTTTAAGACAGGGGATGTCACATTATAATCTTTCATCTAAGTAAATTTTAAATGTTAATCATGAGACTCAGGATTGCCCTACCTCGGGGAAGCCCTAGGGAAGCAGAGCAGGGGCTGCTGGTGGCCAACTCCGCCTGCTGCACATGCAGAGTGGGAGGGGCTTGCAGGGCTGGACTCCACAGCTTAGGGGCAGCTGAGTGAATGTGGGCTTCAGGTCCCACAGKACCTGTTGAGCCAGGAGATGCATGTAAGCAAGATCCCAGGTAAAATGCAAGATGCACGGTCATGGTCACTATCCTAACCATGTGCTTCACACCCGAGGGGTATTTAGACCTAAGAGGTTTAGGTCCTGTCCTTGATTGAGTTTGAGAGAAAGAATGTTCTAGAAAATACCTGCATTGTCATTTGCTAGTTGTGGTTTCCAATAGTGCAGGGACTGCAGCACAGGCAGCTGAGTCACTCTGTGGTGTGTTAGAACTTTAAACAGTGTACCTAAACCACAGATCCCACAAGGGCTAGAAACTAAGGGACCATGTGGGGCTGAGCAGCTGGGGCAGGTGCACCGAGAGTAGAAACCAGACCACAGACTCCATCTAAGAAGACGGAGACGAAAAGGAGGCAGAAAAGGCGATGGAGGCGAGTGAGTCTTTTATCAGCTTGTGCAGAATTTTACCAGCTTTCTGAGAAACATCATCACAGGTTTGACTCATTGTAACAGATGCATGCAACCAGATGTGACCCTTATAAAAACCAGATGTGACTTACGCAGAACCATGAGGACAGAACGTACATGTGTCTGCATTTTCCCTTTCTATTTTTCAATAGTCTCAGCTTAAAAATAAGAAATCAAACAACAAGAAATCTGGCTTCTAAGCACTCTTTTTGGAAAAGTTGTCCGAGTGTTTTACATCTGTACAATTCCTTCCTTGTACGATCTATAGAACAGAGAGAATGCAGACAGGGGGTGTGTTTGACTAAAGTTCTACTGAGCAGAGAGTCACACACTACATGTCAGTAAAACATGAAATACCTTTGCAGCTCTGATTAAATACTGAAGAATAGTTTTGGGAAGTTTAATGACAGACTTGGGCAAGGCTAAAATGGCTGACGCAAACTTCCCAATAGCTCTCTACAAAGAAGGACAAAGTAAGAGTCGTTAGTAGGGAAAACAAAACTAGTGGTTAATATTACGAAGGCGAGAAGAACTAGTAGTTAAAATACAAAGGTGAAAAAAAACTGGTAGTTAATATATGAAGGCGAACAAGTTTGTCTCTACCATTAAGATCAACGAGGTTACAATGTGCCAACCGTGGGAACTAGAATAAAACATGCTCTGCTGGTAAGTGAGGAATAAAGAAAAACATCCATCACTGCACATAATTCATCAGACAAGGTGAAGATGTCCCATGTCCCCTCCTGCGCTGCTTGATGGGTGACAGCTAGAATGCAAGTCATTAGAAGGAAATAAGCAGTCAAGTCGTTAGTACTTGGTGAGCCAGCTGCACACACACACACACACACACACACACACACACACACACACAAACTCAGTCACCAAAAAGCCCACACGGGGCAACAGAGCCAGAGAGACAGCATCCAACCAGGGTGTCTCCATGAATAACTTAGTTCCACAGTGTCATCGGGAAGACAGGGTGGATTGTGCCTGTCAGCTTGAGGAGGCCTGGCCAGTCAGCTGACAATGACCTCATCGCAGGGCCCTCATGCATGCAGCATGGAGACGGATCTGGGTGCCTTGCACTGTCAGAAACGGGAAATGATGGTGTCATTGAGTGGTTCACTGGTACATGAGATGCACACGGGATTTCATCCTGAGTCGACTGCAGGGACACAGCCTCATCTTTAACAAGACTTGATGACACGTTCACCCCTAGCTTTCRGGCTGCTGAGTGCCTGCTGGGAACCAGGGAATGGGTCTGAACCAGAGATGGTTAAGCTGAGGACGGGACTGTGCCMGAGGTTGTGGCTGTCCTTACAGGGCACCCTCCAATCTTGAACAGTACAGACAAAACAGATCTGAAATCTGAAGCAGCATTTCCATGATCCTTTGATTCAAAACAGAGCCAGCACTCTACTTTCATAATCAACTGTTTCATACTTTGAAGTATAACTCCATTCAAGCAATCCAAAGCAAAGCCAAAGAAATCTTCATCTCTTGCAACAACCACAAAAATAAAGTTCACCCAGGAAGCTTTATTTTTGTGTAAAGCATGAGGGGATGCATTGACGGAGGGGATGACGGCCTGCTAGAACCTGCTCTCCTCCGGCAGCTGCTGTGGCTTTGCCGAGAAGCATGAAGTGGAGATGCTCAGAGCTCCGGCAGGAGCTCAGCAGAAGTTCAGGCCTGCGATGGAGCCTGTTAATCGGAAAAACTCTYCAAATGGCAGGGGACACGACCCCTCCCAGCCCCAGATTTACCTGGAATGCTGACTTGCGCGGTGGCCCCTCATCTTCCTTCTTCAACTCCTCCTCTTCCTCCTCTTCACTATCCGTTTCAAACAAGTAATAATCTCCACTCCTGACCACTAAGCAAAATAAAATAGTCACTTATTTCCTGAAAGAAACACGAGACCGCTGGGGGCTGACTAATAAAATGCCCCTAAAAATATACAGATGGCCCACAGAAGGACCGCAGCAAGAGACGTTGGCAGAGGAGAAACTGAGATGAAGAGAACCAACTTCAGGCTAACGCTGCTGCTACATGATGTTGGCAGGGYGGGGTCCACGGAGCCTGAGGCCTTGTCTACACCACCCAGAGACCCGGCCTCTACAGGGCTGATCCGGTGTTTTCTCCCCTCTTGATTGTAAAATTTATACCGTTAACTCAGATCAACTCCGCAGCCACCGATTCTGTTACTGAAATAACTTGAGAATACTGTTTTGCAATTCAGCAATATCGGTGGTTCAGACAAGGCCGGAGGGAAGTGGAGAGTCTGGCCCGGGCTGTTCCAGGGAGGCCAGAGGGGACGGCTCAGCACCCAGACCAGCACAGCCAGCCTTCCGCTTCACTTCACACCGTGCAGACCTGGCTTCTCCACATGGACACACGAGACACAACATACATGACGAGACATTTCAAACAGTKAAACAACACACATGGCCATGGGGGTGATGGGGGGGTGGCAACACTGAGAACAGAAGGAAACACGAGGACAATGACAGTGACAGCGGTGACACTGCTTGGGCTGCTTCTAACATAGCAGACCAGTCCRCACGGTCATGCTGCCAGCCTCTGGTCCACAGGCAGCTCCCGGGACGTAATGAGGCTCAGGGGAGTGCGAGGGACCAGAAGGCACAGGCACAGATAGTAACGGAGCGCCTCTGCCTTGTCTTTTACTTTCCCTGCAAAATCACAACACCTGGGTTAAGAGTTGGGAGCAGAGAAAATGTCCAGAGATTTTAAGAAATTCAATTCTTCTATCATTTTGATAAGTTTTGAGTTTATCAGAGAAAAGAGACCCAGCATATACATTTTGGATGCTACAAGAACTGTACCATCATGGCAGGGAAACATATCTGCTGGGGTTTGCAGATGCAGGGTCTCTTTTCCGTAACATCTTGATGTCTGAGTTGACTTTTGGACTTAGGCATTGTAGTAATGGAAAACCTTGGCTTGTTTTCAAATCAGTTGCTTGGATATCACTCAACATGGTCAAAACTCAAGTAATTTTGCCCATGATTTCAGACGAATCTGAAGCCTCCATTCATGAAGACGTAGAATGAACAAATTGGGCCTTATATCCTTGAACAGAAGCACTGATTTGTTGATTTTATTTTGAAGAAAAAAAACCAGGCCCAGAGTACTGGGTCCAGGCCTGAGGGAATAAATGCAATACAACATAAGGTAAGAAAAAGCAAGAACAAACCAAAGTTACAGCATTACGTTGGACAGTGAGGAGGACCGTGAAGAAATGCATCTACAGAAGCCCAGAGTCACAGGGACTCTGCATCGCACGGTCATGTGGGAAAACAGTCTCACAAGAAGGAGCATTTCACCCTCATTACAAGTTCCGAAATCAACAGTGTTCAATCATACCTTCTGCAACTGTCATGCACACTGGTGAGCCCAACGGTTATTATCTCAAGCACTATATTTTAATTTTATAATTGGAAACTAATTTGTTATGTGAGTGAGCAGAATTAGCACATGAAAAACAAAGAAATGCTTTTGAGGACTTTTAAAACTGTAATTAAATGGAAGTTAGGAAAATAACAAGAGGAGTCTTTCTCCAGTGCTGCTTCCTAGTAATGGAAGGAAAGCTCTCAGGTGGACCAGAGTTCAGATGCAGATCCAGCTCCACACTGTCCCCGCAGGCTCTGTGGATGTTGAATGTATTGCTGAGCTAGTGTGAAACCAGCTTTTTAAATCCTGCCATTGTATCCTCAGACAGTTGGCCCTCACGGTGAGGTATTCGTCAATGAAGCGAGGCTCAGTATTCACTCAGGCAGTGCTGAGATGGGCTGCACACGCAGCACCCACGGGAAGGTATCATTGAAYAGCAATATTGCAGCCCATGTGTGCACATGGTATGGACATGGGAGAAGTGGCACCTTCGACCACACCAAGGCCTGCTGCCAATGTCACACAAACAGCAAGGCCATATTACATGTCACGGATTCACATGTGGCATTCTACTGCACACATTCTTATCCTTGACATTGCTAAGACAGCTCTCTTAGAAAGCCYAATCACTTGACAGATCAAAATAAGGCCTTTAATAAAATTCTTCCAGATTTAACAATAAGTTCTGAAACGTATCCAAGACTACAAAATAAACTACCCATGCCCTTCCTTGCATGCCTCTCAGGCTTGGAAAGAAAAATAGATCTCATAGAAAAAATTTAACACCGCTGTCGGAATGTGATTCCAAACCATGAGTGACTCACGGTCCTGCGTTATTGCACCATCAGGTAGTGTAACTAGGCACACTTAGTGAATACCAGTGTTCAGGAACGTGGCATAATGAGGGTGAAATGGGTCAGAAAAGCCTAACTTCAGTAACCTTCACAGGAAGCTCTTCATATCATTCACAACTGGTAAGATGATCATCAAAGACCACATCCAGTTCCTCTGGAAGGGTGACACTGAGGTGGGAAAAGGAAAGACACCCACAGTGACTGCAGTGGGAACTGGTCCCAGTGGGGTCTGACATTCACGTGACACAATATGACATGGACAGGTCTCTGCACTGGCAAAGGCCCTTTGAGGACAGAGAGGTCGCACGGTTGACTTGTGACTTGACAGGAGTAGGCAACTGCACATAGCATCGCTTGRTCCTTGGCAGGGCTCATGTGCCAAAGGACAGTCCACCGAGAGTCACACTGGACTTTTGCTTGAACATTTCTCTTTGGATTTGAGCAGACAATTGAATAAAACTCTTTATAAATCAATTTTTTTTGTCCAAAATGCTAAATTCAATATTGGGGATAAATTCAATTGCATCCAGAAATACTGAGCCAATTTCATGAAACTAGTTTTCCGAGTTTTGGAGAATTTCCTCTGGAGTGAGAGAGGCCAACATCAGATCATCATGATGCTAAGCAATAGGTCGGGGAAGGTTCTGGTTTAGTTAGTTTTGTAATGATTCTGAAGATGCTCCTCATGGGCCCCGCCCTGCTCTGTGAGGCATTTTGAGCTTGGTGATATTCCTTGTCTGACAGTTTTGGAGATGTGTCTCCATAAGCTATAACCAGGGAAGGCATCCCAACTAATTTTCAGAATACTAATCATTCAATATTCTAACATATCAAAGGAGGGCCAGATGCATGACAATGACATTGGCCAATGGTGACAGTTTCCTTGATAAGCAGAACAAAGACAACCCATAGGTCTCCTAGCTGCTTCTTCACTGTCATGGTCAACAGGGAGGTGCGGAATGCTCTGCCTGGCCACCAAGCTCTGATTTTCTGATGTCTGCTGTCAGCTGGTCACTGGGGCCAGCTGGCTGTCCACTGGGCCACACTTTGGGCATGGGAGACCACAGAGCAGTTTCAGAGCCATTTTGAGATGGGGGAGGAGGCAGGGTGAGAAAGTCCTGCCTCAGCTTCGTGTTTAACGTGTTGCCACAGCCTTACTGCAGAGGAAATCAAAGCTTGGGAGAGGGGAGGGGAGGGCCCTGGCATCCATGCTGAGCACCTTACAAAGAGGGTCCCAGAGCCTTGGGGCCCAAGTCAGGATCCAAGGAGGAGCCTAAACTCACTTTAACCAGGGGTTTTAGCCAGAAAGCAAATATTGGCAGAGCTGCAGCCCCAGAGCTGGCCTGTTGGCCACCCGCTCAGCTTTCTGCAGAGAYGCGGACACTGAGCTGGTTCCAGAGGAGCTCTCGCAGGGCCCCAGGCCCATGGACAYGGCAGCTTTCCTGCCCGACCCCCTATGAAGTCACAAGGGCAAACCGTGCAAGGGACACACAGGTCATGGGGAGCCTGAATTCTGGTCAAGGATATAAGGGTGAGACTTGGTGAGACTGAAAGAGGATCGAGAAACCTACTGGAAGCATGATCGACCCAAGGCCGCCACCACTGCTTTTTTTTGCCCTTGGCTTTCTGTTTGTCTGCTTCTCCTAAAATGAAATATGTCCAGATATTAATTCTTAGAAAGTGAGCAAGCACATTTGAAAACCACGCTTTAACAATGCAATGTCAAACCTAGACAGACTGCCCAAGCCCATCAGAGTCAGGAAAAGGAACCACACTGAACYCGACAAGGAAACGTGCTAACAGGCCCCTCTGCACTGGCTTCTTCTAACCCCGTGCCACGTTTCCACATCTCCCTAGTAACTGAGTGCCTAGCAAGAAATTTTAAAAGGAGAAGGGATTATCTGTYAAAATGCACTGAGTTTTTCATTAAATCAACAGAAAAGAAGCCTCRCTGAACTTTTACAGAAACATTTAGAGGCAAATAGTTTCTAAAARCAGATAAATTACAATAACCAAAAACTTTTCTTGTGATTAATTTAATGTGTTGATCAGAAAMTATAAATTTACTGGTGATGAATAGACACTAGGTACTGGAAAGATTTCAATATGTGTTATTTCTCTATTCCTTTCAAATAGCAAAGCATGCAAGCCCCTCTAAGCAGACCTTTAAAACTTTAACTGGCTACAATAATTCTATGATTAGATATAACAAATATATATTTCACACTGTTTTACTGAAATACATAATARCTGATATTTTTAACTATCAGTATTCAGATGCCAAATAAAATCATTGGCAGGCATGTTTAATACTCATATAAAACTTATAGAAATGAAAGGTAGCATATTTAACTATCTTCCCTACAGGCACAAATTAAGCAAAATCACACCAATTTCCTTCATGGGCAGATGTCTGTGAGACAGCGTTAGGCTTAGTGTTTACTTGAGACATCTTGCCCAAGAATGAAGTCATTCATACATTAAATGAGTGTTTTAGGAAATAAATAAATGTACCCACTCACAAAGGGAGGGTAAGACTTGCTGACGCAGGTAGAACAAGCAGCAGAGCCAGCGTACAGCCCCACCCGAACCAAGCTACCGCCCAGCACCTCAGAAGGGAGTGGGAGGACCCCGCGAACGTACTTTCATCRTCCTCTTCCGGGGGGTTCTGGACGTCCTGGCCTTCCCCAGCCTCCTGCGTCAAGCTCAGCATCCTCTCCTTACCCTTTTTGTACTTCTGCTGTCTGGCCTTGATGCGGTCCATCCTAGGAAATAAACCAGTGTTGGYGATGTCAGGGCCACCTTTGAGGGACTGTGGACTCCACCGCCAGGCGTACTTCTAAAATCATGGACGAATGGCCAATTCACTTTGAAATCCTCAATGGTGAAACAATTGCTTCTCTGATGAAGCATCTCCCTGCTCTCTATATAATCTCCACGCTGCTCTGCCCTCCACAGTGGCTTGACTTGAGAACCGGATCAGTGATTGCTGTGCTGGGTTTGGCCTGCAGGCCACAGTGTGCACTCACACCTGGTGTCACAGCCAGTCTGAACAAAACGCACTCTAAGGTGTAAGTCCTTTATACCCCTAAATTTGGCATTCTTCTTCTTCTACATTTTTTTTTGTACTAGGGATTGAACCCAGGGGTACTTAACCAGTGAGCCATATCCCTGTTCCCCCCCCACCTTTTTTAATGTTCTATTTAGAGACAGGGTTTTGCTGGGTTGCTTAGGGCCTTGCTGAGGCTGGCCTTGGATTTGTGATCCTCGTGTCATCGACTCCTGAGTCACTGGGATGACAGGTACGCACCACTGCGCCTGGCCAACTTTTGCATTCTTAAACAGAAAAATTCAGCAGTAATCACAACTCAGGCCTCCTGGGAAATGAGAAGCACATCCGAACGTGGGTCCAAATTGTCATTCCTCTGGATCCGTGTTGGTGGGCCAGAAACAATGCTAACACAGTTGTGACACGGTGCACTGGTATTAGGTGTTTACGTATAACTTACATCTTTGTGACAATGTCCAGGACATGGACCCGTCTAATTAATACCAGGAAGCACTTCTGCTGAGGGTGGAGAAAGCTTGGAAATGAAGTCAGAAGGGAATGAAGCTGCTCCTGAAAACTCGGGAAACTTTACTGGGGACTGAGAGAGATCTCCATTTTCTTGGCAAAGTGTCAGCCCTTGGGGACCTCAGGCTCTTGAAAAGTCTACTCGTGCCATCTTTAACTCCACTGCCATCAGCTTTCACACCTTTTCCCTGAATCTATAAGGTCCATTCCCTGCTAAGAATTATGCTCAGCAAATTCTTTTCAATAATTCCCAAATCTCCCGAGAGGAGCCAGTCTATGCCATGACCCAGCCACAATGGCACAGTGGGAAAGCTCTGAACTGAACATGGGCCGGGATGAACTGCACGCCTCAGGCTGCCTGTGCCCTGTGGGGCTCTCAGTCTTTCAGAACCAGAAACTTCTTTCTGGATTACATGATTTCAAGATGTTTCCAGAGCTGACCCCAGGTTTATCCCCTTACCTGAGATGCAAGGAGCATTTTCTGTCTCATTCATGAGCTACTTTAATCTCTACAAAAATCCAGGAAGGTGGGCCTGTGAGATGTAGTTTAGGGGCAGGAACCTGAGGCTCAGAGACCTGCAGAGCTTCTCCAGGTCATCCGGGAAGCACCTGAGCTAGGAACTGCTCGTGTCTTTCTCAGGATGGCCCCTGCCACCATTCTGGAACGCTCTTCTTCAGGCTAGGAGGCTCTCGCGACTGCTCTGACTCAGGAAATACACGGGAAGTTGTGAACTGTCACACACACACAGACTTTCCAAGGCTCTGAGGCCTCCAAGGGCTGAGAGCTAAATATGGTCCCACAGATCAGAAGAAGGAAGAGAAGGAGCGTGAAAGCATCTTACTGTCTCTTCAGCTGATCCATGGACCTCTTTTCCTCCTCGATTCTTGCCTTTACAGCCTTGACAATCGTGGCCTGGAAAAGTTCGGCTCCCCTAAGGGAAAATTGGAAACACGGAGCCACTTAGTAGCTGGCCTTCCCTTGAGAACCATCGCAGATGGGCAGGAAACGTGGCTTCCCTGTGCTGGTGACACTGACGCTTCCTGGTGGCAGTGGGAGTCACCAACCCCTCTGGAGCAGCCTCCCAGGGGAGGAAGTGGGCTGCATGCCCTCACAAGGTGCCATACTCCCGTGTTTCCTACTGGGCCTTGGCAGAGTTGGCCACGAGGAAAGGGTTTGCAAAGACGGCTGGGTTTCCACTCAGCCAGCAGGAAAGCCCAGGGGTGCAGGTGGAGCAGAGGTCCTCTCCACCACGGGGCCTCCAGCCTCTGGCCGCCTATCCTCTTCCTCCTCTCCTCTGTCCCTCTTCTTCCTCCCTTCTCCAGCCAGCTGAAGTGTCCCTATAAATCTCAGCCTCTCCATATCCTCAATTCTGACTGCTGTCACCTGCTTGGGAAACCCAAGACCAAGGGACTGTGCTGGGCGGGGGGGCAGCCCTCAGCTGCTGAACACAGCCCACCCGAGGGCAGACTTCTCTGGGCCCCTGCTCCCTGGAAATCCCTCCTCTTCTCTACAGCACTGTTTTTCAGCTCAAGTTCCGAATTCTGCCACGTGGTCTTCACTGCTAGTGATGACATCGCTTCCTAGAGAGACCATCCTCAGGTGGCATTATGTAGCTCAGCGCCCSGCCACCCCTCCTTTCCCATGTGCTGCCTTCCTGCCTGTGGCCCGCCYTGTGCTCTGGCTCTTCCTGCCTCTGCCTCAGTCCCCACTCCTCCCCCTGCACTCTGGCCTTCCCCACCACTGCTGGTCACCAGCAGGCAAGTGACGTCGAGGCTCGCTAGTCCTGAAAAATGAAAAAGAATCCTAGTCACCCCACGCCTCGCTGTGCACACTCAGGCCATCCCTCCTCGAGGCTGAACTTCCCTCCGGAGCCTCCTGGGGCTGCCACCTGCACTGTCCCCTCCAGCTCCTGCTCTCTCCAGGCTGCAGCACGGGGTGGGGGCTGTCATAGCAGGCCCTGCCTGCCACCACCCTGCCGAAGGGCTCTCCTGCTCCGCCAGCTGCCTGCCACCACCAGCTGCCTGCCACCACGTGGCTGTTGGTTCAGTGTCTGTGTCCTTCCCCATCCACACTGAAGCCCGGGTGCTCGAGGCCTTGGTGTTGGGAGTGGGGCCTTTGGGAGGGGACAGGTCGTGATCAGCATGAACGCTCTGGTGAAGAGGCCCAGGTGGCCTCCTGCTCTTCCCTCCCCCAGGGAGGACACAGTGAGGAGGGCTGTCCACGCAGAACAGGCCCTCCCCCGCTCCGAATCTGCTGGCACCTCCGACCTGGACATCCCAGCCTCTGGAACTGTGAGAAACAGGCTCATGYTGTTTGTGAGCCACCTTGGTTTGGAACTTGTGTTACGGTGGCCTGGGCTGCGACAAAGCCAGGCACATGTGGGCAGCGGCTGGGTCACCTGTCTTTGTCCTTTCTAGCCTGTAAGCTCTGTGAGAGTTGGGGCCCACCTCCTGTCCTCATAACAGGGCAGGCAGTGAACCAAGGAAGGCACGTGGGAGTGAATGAACAKGCGTGTGTTCTCTGGAAACTGCCTTGGGAGTTCAACATCCATCAATCAGAGCGGGACTTCCTGTGTGAGCACAAGGTATGCTCTGAACAAAGCCATCACTCCTACTGTACCCAGGGGACATGCTGTCCAAATAATTGTGACAACAATTGGAAAAAGGCACTGGCTTTCTATAATGTCTGGGACTTCTAAGGACCATATATTTTGGGGAGGGTGATAAAGAAAAAAAGTATTTGCCTGCAAAATTACCAGCTGCTCTGTACAAATGAGGTCACCTCTGACTGAGACACTGTCCTCTGCTACAGAAATGATGTCCAGAGTATTAGTTGTGCTGGTCAATTGCAGGACTGGTACTGTTCCCCTAGGTGGTGTGGGACACAGGCTGCTGGGAGAAAGTGCAGTTTCCTACATTTCTTTTCCTACAAGGCAGACAGTCAGGTGGCAAAGGCCAGGGTTGCTGCATGTGTATGGACTTTTGAAATCAATGTTTTATTTCTCCTGAAGGGAAAGGAAACAAGGCTCCAGGGAAATGGGTGGCACAGACACAGAYGCACGAGCTTAAGCCATGTGCGAATGGTAAATGAGGGTGAGTTCACATTCCACAGCCTGATGTCTGCTGGATGGCAAGCACCAAGGATCCCGTGGGATCTGGGGAGGGTCAGCACCTGTGAGATGAGCCCAGCAGTTGGGGTCACACARGAGCACTGACCCTCCTGCCAGGATGGCTTGCAGGCCCTTCCTAGTGCTCCGCCCAGTCTGCTTCCCGAGCCTGTAGATCASGGGCAACACTTGCAAGAGAAGAAATGGTGGCATGCAAATCCTGCCAGCAGCCCAGAGAAGAAAATCAGTGGGCAGGAAGAGACCAGAGGGAAGGAGGGGGCCGGAAGGACACCYCAGAGGACTCAGAACAAGCGAGGCTGGTGGGCTACACTGTTCCCTTGCAGTTGTGGAGGGAATCCACACTCTTCTCCACGATGGCTGTTAATTTCCCTTCCCGCCAACAGGGCACCGGGTCCCTTCTCACCCACCCTCCCTGGCATTTACGTTTTGAGGAGAGCTATTCTGAGTGGCTGGGGTGACCCACACTGGGGTTCTGATCGACATTTCCCTGATGGTGCTCTTGCTGAGAGGCGCCTCATGCACTCCCTGGCCACTTGTATCTTCTTTCTTTCTCTGTTTTAAGGTGCTGGGACCACCCCATCCCCACCCAGGGCCCGTGCACAACAGGCACATGCTCACCACTGAGCTGTACTCTCAGCCCCCATTTGCATATTTTCTTTAAAAAAAATGCCTATTTAGATCAGTTGCCTATTTTGTGAGATTTTTTTGTTGTTGTTAAGCTTTTTGACTTCCTTCTCCACTAACGATCTGCTACATCATAGATGATAGTCATGGTTTTCTCTGTTTTCGAGAGTTTCTTCTTAAAGAAGAGGTAGGCAGGGGAAAGACGGAGGCTCAGAACCAGCACTGGCCCTGCCCCAGGGAGGGTGTGTGGCAGGCTTCCGTCAGCCCAGGMCCCTCTGAGCTTCTGCAGGGCCCAACTCCTGGGAAGTGTCACTCTCATCAGACTCCRTGTTTCTATACCATGTGGGTCTTAACGGCCTGGGCTAGATTTTCCTTGCTTTCCTGGAGAGGATGTCTCAGTTTCTGTGGTTTCTCCGAGCAGGCTCAGACARAAAGCAGGTGGGTGCTACTCAGCACACTTTCTAGGAGAGCAGCCACGTGCTTCCGTGGCCGGACCCACCTGGAAGCCAGGATCTGGGAAGCTTTGATGTCGGCCACGACGTGCAGGAAGTAGTAGCTCATGAACACGCGTCTCTGCAGCAGGAGGAAGGCAAAGCAGATGCTGTCCCAGATGATCCCGGCCTCCCCGCTGGGCAGTCTGCAGGAGGCGTCATCCTCGGCTGTGTGACAAGAGGAAAACCCGCTGGAGCCGACTTCCCTCCCACARTCACCCTGTGGCCTGCCTGAGTGCAGGGATCACACAGGCCCAAGAGCAGCGTTCCCAGGCGCTACTTACAGATGACCCCTTACAAATGACGCGCACACTTCAAATCTAGCATCAGCGTGAACTCATTGGGCTATGACACAGGGTCTCTTGACCTTCGGCAGAGAGGCCCCTGTGCCTGTCTCTCCCTTAGGGACCCCCAACGAGGGCCATGGGGAGTAATGTGCAGTGACAGAGGAAACGCTCTGTTCAGTAAAACACAGCTGTCCTGCCACAGGCTCTTTGGGGTRACGCCATGCCAAGGGACACGGATGGTCTTTAGAGGAGGTGGAGTGAGCAGCCCCTGGATCCTCAGTCAAAGGCCATCCCTCGTGGTACTCAACTGCAAAGTGCAGCCTGAGCCACCAGCCACGGTGTGGGAGGCTTGGATACAAGCGGCCCCCATCCTGGCCCACAGAAGACCCCCATGTTGTCATGGTCTGAGCTTGATCAATATAGATTATAAATTATAGAGTACAGGTTATGGAATATTAATAAGTAGGATAATAGGAATATGTGATAAGTGTTATAGAATAAATAATGTTAAGCTGTTTCTAAGATGCTACAGATTGTTTTTTCTGTACTTCATATGCCCACAAATGTGCTTGAATCCAGGATGCTGTCTGTTTTGCTCTGCTGACTGCTTTCTTAGCCCTGGCATCCTGTTGCTTGCCTGCACCTATGTTTTTGAGGATGTGGTTTTTCCCCTTATAAACCTCACAGAACTCGGACCCGATACTGATCCTAGCAAAGACAATTCGGGTCCTGCAGGRATCAGTCCCAGCTGACTAAATAGAAGACCTTCTAATTTGGACAAAATTCAGACTGAGAGTGTTTCCTGAATGATTAGCCACAACCATGTGACACAGCCCTGGGCTCTGTTGCAAGGGGCAGGGTGGTGGGGACAGCATGTCCCTTAGTCCGTGTGCAGGTCTAGTTCCAGAAATCCCAGGGCCCTCCCAATGGTTTGCATTTACAGATCCCTGAACTTCTTGAGGAGAGAAAGTTCTGGAAGTCTCATCACCTTGAGACCCCTGAGTCTAACCAGAGCAACTCCACTTTTGGGTGAGCCCTGGAGTCCTTCCCTATCGTAGGTAGCTCAGAGGAATCCAGGGAGTCACAACAGCACTGCACCCAAAGGTGCCTGGAACGAAGGCACCTCATGCCATGGCCYGCAGGTCCACAGCGCGCTCCCTTTCCATTGCTTCCACCCGGGGCACCATCGACCTCCACCTTGGACTCTTCTCTTTGTGTGCTTGGGCCCAGTTTCTAAGTCAGAGCAGTCCTGCTCCACGTCCCTCCTTTCTGACGTCCACTACACATGCGCCTCTTGTACTTACGCATGGTGTAGCCCTTGACGGTGCAGGCCAGGCTGAAGGCCTGGATCAACCAGCAACTCTTCTTCACCAACGTTCCAATGTATCCACAYGCGCCTATCTGAAAAACAGACAGAGGCAGGGTCTGAAACTGCACCCTGAAAACAAGCTGGGGTCTCGTGATCCCAACAGGTGCAAGAACTCACAAGGGCCTGGTGCCAGAGATCAAGATGGCGCACGTGGGACCCAATCTCAGACACCACGCGGCCCTGCACTGGTAGCTCCTGGAGCCCTGGAAGTCCCCAGGCAAATCAGACCCACGCACACAGCCAGGGTCTTTGGAGCARCGCTGCTGCACGTGGAAGCACCTCTTGTCGAGAGGAAACCTGGGCTGTGGGGGGAATAAGCCAAGCCCCATTATTGTGAATGGGTGCACTCTGGGCCCCTGTTTTGATTCTGTGTTCCCAGGAGCCATCCCAGACACAGCTGCAGGAACAGGCCATCCGCCCTCACCCACAGGAGCTGCAGCCAAGGACCCCACCAGGTGGACAGAAATCATTGCAATGACAGAAATGCTCCTTACTRAACTCGAGCTGACCTCCTCCTTGACACCACCTCCAGACAGTATAGTCCACAACTGTGCACACAGTGTCACACATGTCAGGTGTCCTATGTGATCCTGGGAGGACTTAGCTTCGGGAAGACGAGCAGGAGCGTGTGGACACACTGCACCATTGTGTAGACGGGACCTGAACAGCTGAGGACTTCCATACCCACTGGTGACTCTGACCCAATCCCAAGGGGTACCAAGGAATGAGAGTGTGTGATCTGAGACGTTGGGCGGTTCTCTGGGTGAAGAAATCTTTTTGTTGATTGTTGGGACATGGCTGTCTCGTAATAATGGATTTCTTGTTACAGGTGTGCTGTGCTCAATCCTGAGGACGGTGGGGAGGTTCAGCCAACACCCTAGGTGTGGCTGAGCTGTGTGTCCTGGGGATATGGGAGCGGGAGAATACTGGGGTTTCCATGGGATCCTCAGCCCTGAGAACGACTTCCCACCATCTTCCAAACTACGCTGTCCACTGCAGGCAGGGGATGCCCTTCCCCTTTGTAACTCCACCCCAATCCGTGGTCTGAGTCTCAGAGGTTGAAATGGCATTGCCTCCACAGAGCCTCCCCCCGACTCCCAAGCAAGATATTAGGCTTCCTTTAGTTTTTGCCTTATTTTCCTCCAAGGTTATAACCACATCGTTAACAATTGTATTATTATTATTTGTAGATCCTTCTTTCCTTCCAGAATGTGAGCTTCTKGAGAGTCAAATAAGAGCATTATTTATCTCCAATTCTTTGAGATATAACATAGTGCTCAGGAAAGAACAGGTCTGCAACACAGGTTTACAGAATGAAGAAGAATGAACGAATGGATGGATAGAGGACAGATGGGTGGACGGAAGGACAGACGCCGTATCCACACATTTTCCAGGCATAGCTATGAGATCACACTCCAGAGGTGGATCCCTCTCCACGGAGTGGCTTCAGGATGGGACGGCCTTGTCTAGTCTGCTCTATGCTCTGMAGTGACTCCCTGTGCTACTCCAAGCATGAGTCCATGCTCGTGGGGAAAGGCGTTGACTTAAAGGCACTTTCACCCTCAACTAGAGAATTCATCTTTCAACGAATGGTAGGCAAAATAAATCATTCAAATATTCATTACCCACAGACTAGGCTTTCCCAGCTCTGAAACACAGCAAAACACACATGGAAAAAAAATAATCCAACAGCCTTCACAGATCAGTGCTGTGGTGTACTGAGCCCTAAGCAGCTAGCAGAGAAGAAGGGCGGAGTCCCTCCGCCAGTGCCCTTCGTCTGCTCCACCAGGCACAGCCGAGAGGAGCAGGCACGGCCTGATGTGGAGGCTGGCGGGAGAGGCAGAAACTGCTTCAGCCCGTGGAGGTTTGCTGGTTAACTTCCTACAGCACTGAGTAACTTAAATAGCGTCCTTGTGGCCTAAAAGATGGATTTCTGGTATCACTAGCAGACAGTGTGAGYCATCTGTCACGTTAGGAGAGCAGTTTGGCCCAAAGGACCACAGCTACGTAACAGCAGAGCAAGCGGGTGTTGTTCCTTGGTCCATCTGCATGGTTCAGCCAAGCTCTAATCGGATATCGACATTCAGAGGCTGCCCTAGGCTGCACTCTCTCCCAGGTCTCTCCATTTCTGGCACGCGGGATTTCTTGCATCCTGTCTCCATTCCACCTTATTCCCCACGCCACACAGAGAATTATGCTCATTTCATTTCACTTTACACCTCTACAGTTCTTTGCGAGTAAGAGAGTTGTATTTTTGTGAATATGATATGGCTGAAAAACTTCAACAAACTGGGTATGGTGGTGCACTCCTGTAATTGCAGGGACTCAGGAGGCTGAGGCAGGAGGATTGCAAGTTTGAGGTCAGCCTCTGCAACTTAGTGGGACCCTAACTTAGTGAGAACCTGCCTCAAAATAAAAGAAAAGGAGAAGAGAAAGAGCGGGGAATGGAACTCAGAGGTAGAGCAGCCCTGGGTTTAATCCCTAGTACCGCAAAGACCAAAACCAATTCACAGCTTCCCGTGGAGCCACCAAAGGCCCCTTCAAGCACATACTGKGAGTGATAAGATGGTTCCTCAGAAGGGATGGGACTTAAGTTAATAAAACACATTCTAGAATTTTTCCAGTGAATACAACCCTTTCACCACGTGACCTTGAAACCTTGGAAAAGAGCAAAATGTGTTCTGCTGAATTTGGCAAAGCACAGTCATAATGGTCCTGGGGATCCTGAATTGGCAGCATCTTGTTTGGGGCTTTTGAGAGCTGTATGAGAGGCTCGGGGCTCCTGATAACCACCGAGTGCTGATCCACTCTCACGTGGAAGCCGCATCTGTGCTGTGTTGGGAGGCACTTACCGACAGTATATTCTTCATGGTGATCACAAAAACGTTGTAGGCGATCAGCCAGTCCCAGTAGCGCAGGATGCTCTTGATGGGTTTCAGTAGCAAATCGCCCCCGAAGAGCAGGAAGTAGAAACAGGCCACCAGGTAACCCATACAAAATATGCTGATCCTGGTTGTCCCAGTAATGAAGATGATCGTCAGCACGAACCAGAAGAGGTAGCTGAAGATGATGACCTTGGACATGTCCAAGTAGGATCTGGAAAGAACCAAAGGACACGGGGCAACAGGAGAGCAGAACAGCACAGAACGGGGAGTTTCTGTTTGAAGAAGGGAAAGAACTCAGCTCCATGGGTTGCCCACAAGAGCCGTTTCAGAGCACGCCAGCGGCTCTGGCTCCACCTCTCCTTCTCGTGGGGGCACTCTCCTGCAATCAGCGCCACCATAACTGCACCTGCTACCACCATCATCGTGTGGGTCACGTTTCTCACACACAGCCACATTCTTGGCCTACCACTTGGTGTTCAAAATGCCTCTGTTTTTCCATGGAAGGGAGGGATCATGGTATGGCAACAGAAATTGTAACGCAGATACCAAATCGATTCTAAAACTTAGCATTTCTTGCTAGAATATCCTGGCCGGCAAGAAACAAATGAACATGCATTCCTTTTCCTGAGCTAGAAATTAGCAGAAGAAACAAACCCATAAACATACGAAGATTTTACTAGAAATGAAAAGGTCCCCATAGAGAAGGGACTAGTTCTGACAACACAGACACTGCCAGATGGGACCCTGGGCTTTTTAGCACTCTGCCTTTGGACGTCCCGGGCTGAGTCAGGGTTCCTTTTGGGGGCCTATCCCTCCACAATGGCCTTCTTGATGGAAGGGGAGACAGGATTCGTGCCTCGGTCTTCTTGTGACAATAGCCGCTGCCAGAGTCATAGCTGACAGGAACACTCCCCGCAGGCTGAGGCCACCCATGATTGTTTGGTCACAGCTTTTGGTCTTGGGTGGTTTTGCTTTGGATGCGTCTCTACCCAGATTTGGGGAGAAGCAAAGCAAAACGAGTTCTGGATTAGTTCTTTGATGAACGGGTTGTTATTTTGCAGGGTGTCAATGAACCATCTCTTCTTAAAACATGAACTGTACTTGACCTGTCCAGTGTTACTAGGGAAGGAGCATTTTTTTCGGATGTTTGAACTTTTAGCCTTTATGTTTTGCAGAGTAAAACACTTAAAATGTTTTTGTGAAATTTTTTTTAATCTAAAATATATTTCACCCCCCTTGACTTTCTAAGCAAAGGAGAGCAGATAACAAGCCAGGGTTTCTCAGTGAGCCAGGACCTCTGGGGTGGAGYCAGTGACACATGGAGCTCCCAGTCCCTTCTGAAGCCCATATGGGGGACTTCCCTGGACCTGGGATGGGGCACTCCGAGTGSACGTGGGGGCTGTGCGGGGCATTCAGTACTCCTGCTGGCCTGCACAGGTCCATCCCTGGCAGGGAGCCTCCCGGTGTCACAGTGCAGAGCTGGTGGAGAAAATGTGGGAAACACCAGCAGATGAGGCTCCTCCAGGTCCTGGAGAGAACTGATTTGAGTCCTGGTGACAGGTGGCAGGGTCCAGAGGGTGTTCCCTGTCAGAGCCCAGAGAGAGGAAGTGAGGAGCCACTCAGACCTGAGGGCGGGCTGGAGGAGGGCTGCACCCCTTACATCACCACCTGCTCAGGGCTTCCCACAAGGCCACCTGCTATTGGGCCCCTTGCGTCACTACCACRGGACGTGACTGTTCACTTCCCACCATAGGGGTGTGTGCCTGTCACTTTCTGGTATTCCTAACTGATAAACAGATCTAAAAACTTGAAACAATCTAATTTTCAAAATAAGATTCGGCCTTAAAAACCAGTGATGAGTAGAGGCTTCTGCCTGGGTTGGTCTTTAGGGGTGGCTTTGCTGYGCTGAAGTACTTACTCCCTTTGCGCTGGGTGGGAAGGGTGTGTGCTGGGGCCATCTTTCTCTCACATCACAGAGAAGAGGCGAGACTGGGAACCCTGCCTGAGACCAGTGTTCATAYGGCACGTCACTCAGAAAGACCATCTTCAAGCCAATTTGCTTGTGGGTATTTACTCAGTGTGCACTGAGCTTCTGACGGAGCCAGAGCACACTTGGTGCAGGGCTGGACTGMCGGGCCAGATCCTTGTGCTCTGGTCCCTGTGCCTCAGCTCTACCTGGCTGTCTTCTCATCTGCAAATGGGATGATAACACCTGCACACAGGTGGCCTTTGGGAGGCAATGGCTCCACACACGTAAAGCACCTGGAACAGAGCCTGGCTCTTTGGAAGCACAGGATAACTCTTAAAGTGACCCTATCCCTCATAGTGCCAAAGCCATAGGGTGGGATGGGCACAAGAGTGAACAGGTGAGAAGGGGACTCACCCCTCAGAAGGGGGCAGAGTAGGCTCTTGGGGTAACAGCACCAGGTTAGAGGGCGGTCGCGCTGTTTAAACAGGACTCTCCTGGCCGTGACTACAGGAGCCCCTCCCCGGTCCCCTCACGGAAAAGCCAGCCGCCACCCTGTGAGATTCCAAGGCCAGGCAGTTGGTCCACAGCCTCTCACCAGCTGTGCTGGCTCCTGGGTGGCTCTGAGCCCTCAAGGGTGGAAAGAGCTGGGTGTGGAGGCTGAGCCGGCGTGCCTCCAAGAAGGGGAGGCCAGGCAGGGCCAAAGGGACCAGGGAGAAGCAAAGCCAGCAACACAGCCCAGGAGACAACTGGCTCTCAAGACCAGGTCCAGGTGTCCCTGATGGGGAAGATGGTGGAGGTCAGCAAAGGTGCTGTGGAGCAGAGGACGGGGATGGGAGGGAGGAGGGCACAGTGGGGGGGCACTGGACGGAGGACTTTGTGCATYCATGAGTATTGCAAGTGGGCCCCACCGTCATGGTGGCCAAGGCGGGCCCCACCGTCACATGTGACTAAAATGCACTAGTTAAATAAATAAGTCACACCCACCTTACAACAGGCTCTAACCGAAGCCCAGGCCGAGACACAGAGCGAGCGTGAGGAGAGCAGCAGCACAGGTGGCTCTAGACCCTCACTCCTCAGGGCCCAGAACACACAGGAGGTGAGGGAGCAGAGGCACAGGCACGGGGAGGGCGGAGGGTGAGGAGGGATGTGGACAGGGAGGAGGGACGGAGGATGAGCAGACAGAACAGGGACGGGGAGGAGGGACAGGGATGAGGAAGGGGGCAAGATGATGGCAATGAGGAAGGGGAGCGAAGATGAGGAGGAGGGACGGAGGATTCAGGAGGTACGAAAATGGAGAGGAGGGAGGGCTATGAGGAGGAGGGACAGGTGAGGA